TTCCTCTCCCTCCACTCCTCCTCCTCCCTCCTCCTCCCTCCTTCCCCCCCCCTCCCCCCCTCCTCCTCTTTTTCCTCTACTTGCTCTACATCTGTATGATGTACATTCCACTCGTCCTCATCCTTCTTCCCTCACATCCTCAAACAATTTAATATTTGTGAAATCTCATCAAAAGATTTGAAAAGATAAAAAAAAACCGGAATCGCCTTTCAATGCAACAAAATCTGAATCTAACAACAGCAACAACAACAACTAAAACAACAGCAACACCAACACCAACAGCAACAGACGGAAACCGGAGCACGGCACAATCAGCAAAGCAAACTCATTCCAGAAATCATTTCAAACTCAGTTAAAACTGATCTCAAACTCACTTAAAATTCTGAATCCAGGAATCTCCTAGGATAGCGAGAACTTCATGGGGTTGTAATTGAACGAGAACCATTCATCGACATTCTTCACGCCTCGTAGAGCCTCGTCCTCCTGCTTCAACTTTTCCGTCATCATCCTGACCAAGTTCTCCTTGCTCAAACTCATCTTGCTCATCCTCTCCCTCCCCAGCTCGAGGCCCTTCTCCTTCTCCTCGCTGCTCAGCTCCTCGAACATGGCAAGGTCCATCCCAAGACGGGTGCGATAGATTCCCTTTCCCTCCTTGCACGCCTTCAACAGCATCGCCTTCGTCTTCTCTTCGTGCTGAGACAGTCTCGCCTCGACATCGCTCCTCGTCTCCTTATGCCTGAGCGCATGCGGCGAGTAAGTTCCATGGGCCTTCGCCACAAACGCGTCGCGAGCAGAGAAGAGCTTCATGAAGACTTCGTCTGACAGAGGCAGGACAATCTCTCTCGGCTCAGGAAGAGCATTGTACGAGTAGAACATGGCGAGGAAGCGCGAGGCCTCCTCGGGCTTCAGATGCTTCACTTGGCCCTTCTTCTTATTTGCCATCCTATCCTTCGGGAGAGCTCGTGGCTGCAGCTCCTTGTCAGGTTCACAACATACAAGACAGTCTACCAACCTGAACTCCTCCTACTCTCCTCACCCTGGAACCCGTCATGGTGTTCGATTCCTTCACGCTGTCGTCCGTCGTCCTCTGCTTCAGGTCCTTGAGCTTTCTCTCGAACTCATTCTTGATGGGCCCATCCTTGGCGTTCTTGACAACATCGTTGTAAATCTTGTATGATGACAGGACAGAGAATGCTTTCAGCGCCTCCTTTGCCTCCTCCTGCTCCCTCCCTCCCTCGGTCAAACACCTATCAACCACAACAGAGTATGTGATGACCTGAGTGGCTTGCTTCGAGCGAACTTTCTCTACAAGTTCAGCTTCTCGGGTCGACAGGAGTTGTTTCGCCTCATCTTCGTATTCATTCGGCTCAAACAACTTGGAAGACCTCTCGCCATGGGCAAGAGCGAATAATGCTGCCACAAGAATATACTGTACAGCTTTCATCTGCAATCAGGTGATCAATTACTGCAAGCAGAATTTGATAGCTCATGGGTTGTGTGTCATTCTTGCTCCTATCAACATTTGCAAGAACTAGAAGATGAAGAGGTTTACAAGGAAGAAAAGAAGCTTCAGCGACCTTTCGAAAGCAAAGTTTCACTTGATAATGCACACCAGTTGAAATCGTGCTCATTCTAACGAATGGAACCAGCTCGTAAGATAGAAACAGGCAGAACAACAGAGAATGAGCAAGAGAAGAGAGCAGACGAAGCGAACAAAGCAGGCAGGTAAGATTGATAGGACAACAAGGATAGAACAAAAGGCAAGTACGAAAGAACAAGGGGAGAAGATGATGAGTAGAAAGGAGGTAAGAGGGAGGAGGACGTAGGAGGAGGAAACGATCATGAGGAAGAGGGAGGAGAGGAGGAGGAAGAGGAGGAGAAGGAGAAGGAGGAGAGGAGAGGAAGAAGAAGAAGAGGAGGAGGAGGAGGACATTGTGAGGTGCTAAAGAGTAAATCGTGGGTGGGGTGGGTCATTGAGACAGGTTGGGGTACCGTGTAATATCCACCTGTGGTAGGGGTACTCCTTTGACCCTCTAAGACTCCTAGAAAAGGCTCTTGAATAAGGGGGTACCGAGAACTGGAGTTGTGGGGGGTAGTGGAATGGATGCATTTACCAGGGTGGTATAGATCAGATTGGAGTAGGGTAGGGTAGGTTCCTGGAAGTTGGGTCAAGATGGGTATGAGGGAGATGAGTTGAGCGACATGATTGCTGGTGGCGCTGCAGTCATCACGTTGATGGCGACATGCTGGTGAGGGAGAGGAGACGAGAGGAGAGGAGACGAGAGGAGAGGAGAGGAGACGAGACGAGACGAGACGAGACGAGACGAGACGAGACGAGACGAGACGAGACGAGACGAGACGAGACGAGACGAGACGAGACGGGAGCAGGGGAGAACAGGGTAGAGCAGAGGATGGCAGGGAAGAGCAGGGCAGGGCGGAGCAGATCAGAGTAGAGTACGGCAGTTCAGGGCGCTGGGCAGGGCAGGCAGAGCAGGATTGAACGCTTTTATGCAGTAACTCTATCACCTTTGCAGGCTACAACCCATGTCTCCCTATATGCCCGACTCCAGGACTCCGTTGCCATACTCTCCGCCTCTGAGACGCTCTGCCGTCCTTTGTTCTCGTGCTGCCAGGGATCTCACACCAGCATACTCGAGGAGAAGACCTCCGCTGGACATCTTCATGATGCCTGAAGGGCCGGAATGCAAGCGGATGGCCGATGAGCTTTCGAGGTTTGAAGGGAATCTCATAACCAAGGTAACAATTAGATGTCGATGTTGACAAGAGGTGAGGGGACGACGCAGATGGAGATCTTGAGTGGGCGTTACATGGAGAACGGTTTGCCGACGAACTTTGAAGAGTTCAAGGACAAGGTGGGTTGTTGTGCTGTTGTCATATGCTGGGATGTTCTTACCCTGTTAAAGATGATTCCTGCCAAGATTGAGAGGGTGGGGAACAAGGGAAAATTCATCTACTTCCTGTGTTCGTCCTCCAAGATGCCGAGTTAGTGACAACTTGAACTTTGAACCTTGAGGATTTCAAACCTCACTGGGATGTTTAAAGATTTGAATGGGAGCATTTGGTCGACCTTGGGAATGTCGGGTCGGTGGAGCATGACAGAGACGGTGTTTGCGATTCGCTGCTTGCTCGTATGTTGAAGCTGGAAAATGAGATCCACACAAGATTCATGATGGAGATGATTGAAAACGAGGAGGATGAAAACACAAACTTGAGCGTCTTCTACAACGATGTCCGCAACTTCGGCACTCTGACGTTCTCGTTGGATCCAGCAGTAACGATATTGAACGATGCTATTCATCTTCGTAAGAGCATTTGGTAGGAGCTAGAGAACAAATTGGCAAGCATCGGCCCAGCGTTTCTTGACGGCTTGACCGCATCTGAGTTTATCAAGTATGCTTGTACTCTACTCCTTGAAGCTGTTGTTATGATCATGTAACAATGTTCTTTTTGCGATCAGGATTGCGAAACGTCAGAAGAAGTCAAGGTTTGATTTGTTCGTGAGGTTATCATGAAACGTTGAAGAAGTTTTTCCCTCCCACCCACCCAGGTTCCTTGCAGTCTTTCTCATGGATCAGAAGAAGGCAAGAGATTTGATTCCGATTGTAAGGAGAATGACCTGATGATTAGACGAGTGGAATCGGCAACTATATCCTGTCAGAGTGCCTGTACAAAAGGTTCGACTCTTGTATGGGGAGATTGTTGTTGATGGTATCAATCAGCAATCTAGATCCATGGTTGTTGGTGGGCGATCTCAACGAGGATCAATGGATGGACCTGTTTCATGCCATACAGGTGTCAAGACCTGATCATGCATGCTTGCGACTGTCATGGTGTTTCTTACTTTGCCGCATGTCAGGAGACAATCTATGAGAGTTACAAGAGCTCAGGAGTTTCTCGCCGCGGAGCTGATGGAGTGAAAAGGATCGGGATGTACGAAGGTCTAGATGGGGAGGCAGGGCATTACACAGACAAGCTCTTGGTACTTTGCATACTTGATGATTTTGTTGCTGGTTGAGACGAGAGGGAAGGTGTATGGAAGGAAGGAAGACGTTCACGGTCGGACGGTGTTTAGAGAAGATGGGCCTCATAAACGAGCAATCTGGTTGAAGAGCGCGATAGATTTGAAGCATTGGTTGCTGACATCAAGTCAGGTTCGTCAAAGATCAGATCACGCCGAGGGGGAAAGAGAACAGAAGAAGATATTTCGCTGGCAAGACAGCGGAAACAATATGAGCATTCTTTCTAATGAATCTGACGAAACTGAAATCTGTAAGTATGAACAACACTGGAAGAGTTTTCTGCTGCTGAGACAGCTGCCTGGAGCTGTCAAAACATGAAAAATGGACGATGGTCGGAATTTGCGTTTAAGAGTTGGTGAACAAGGGAGGAAAGGGCCTGTTCTTGAATTCCTGTTGATCGAAAATGATCAACAATTGTCAAGGTTATAAGTTTTTCAAACATCACCGACTGATACCCAGCAGCAGAAGCATTCGCCTTGGTGAGAGAGTCAGCAACCCCGTCTTCTTTGAGAAAATGAAGAGGCTTCCACTTCAACCTGCGAATATGTTGATCAGACACATGTGTTCCTCGCTTTCTTCATCCATCTCGTCAGAAGTCTCTTTTAGGCAGCCATTGTTATCATCACAATCACAATCACCACCACCACCACCACCACCACCACCACCATTATCATCTGCAACACAACTCAACATCAAACAACCTCTCGATGCCGGTCAGCGGTCCTCTCTTTCCTCCACAGAAGCCCTCGGTGACGCAGTTCTTGATGACTTGAATTCTCTTAGGGCATATCCCTCCTGTCGTGTAGCACGTTCTCCCTGGTTCCACATACTGAGCCTCTTGGTTCCGCAAGGCAGTGCCCATGATCAGCACTTGAAACATCTTGCGCTGTTTGCCTACGAAGCATTTGATGGTCAGTGTTTGTTGAGGAGACAAGCAGCGTTTCTTCGATATCCTCATTGCGAAGGGACAAGCACACAAGTATGTTGAGAAAGGCAATGAGGTGAAATGCTTCAACAAGTAGACATCAGCTATTGACAGCAGGCATCATCGCTCTCTTCTCTCCTCCTGAACCCCATCACCATCTTCTTCATCTGTACAACGATACTTCCCCTCTCGTTCTCCCTGCTCCGAGCTTCACGTTACCCTTTCTCGCTCATGTTCGCGTAACTTTCCTCTGCATGCACACATCATCCTCTCCAACATCCCGTACTGAGATGCTCCCAGAATTGATCAGCCTCCTCATGCTCCTTCTCCCTCGCTGCTCAGTGCTTGCCGCTTCTTCCATACAATGCCTCATACCCTATCCCTTCTGAACTCAGAAGCCATGGGTCGTCACTGAGTTACTGGACCCTCTTCCTCCCCCCCCTCTTCCTTCCACGCTCTCTTCTTCTCTTCCTCCCCCTCCTCTTCCTTCCACGCTCTCTTCCTCTCTTCCTCCCTCCCTCCCTCCCCTCCTCTCCGCCGTGCGCCCCCATGCTCTCCGACCGCCATGTCCATTAGCTCCCCGATTTAGAGCACCAGGCTCAGACGCCGATCGCAATAATGTATAAACATTCCGGAAATGTATAATTTGATGTATAAAATGTATAAGCGCCTATAAGGATGTATAATGTAGGGGTGCTAGCAGAAGACTAGGACGAGGTAGAGGAGTACAAGGAGGGGGAGGAGGAGGTTGAGGAGGACAAGGAGGAGAAGGAGAAGTGGTGAGGAGGACGAGGAGGGGTGAGGCAATGATATGGGAGAGGAGATGTTGATTGAAAGGCTTTGACTCGTAGCATGGCAGATGCTTCGAAAGTTGAATGTCGGTGGATGTTTTCGGCAGATGGGAGGGATTGCTCGATTGCAGCACGACAGGTTTCCTCCTCTCCGCAGGATGGCCGTCTACTCTCTAGGAGAACATCATCCAACCCTGGAGAAGGAGACCTGGGTGGCTCCGAACGCTGCTGTAAGTTGTGATGCCGCCATGACAGGCTGTGCTCAGCCCTCGATGCAGGTGATCGGCAAGGTGAAGATGGAGCAAGGGTCAAGCGTGTGGTTCTCCGCCACTCTGCGAGGAGACAATGTGCTTGCGGAAAGATCGATAGCGAGAGTGTCTGACGTGGATGTCTAGGAGTTGATACATGTGGGCAAGGACAGCAACATCCAGGACGGCTGCGTCGTGCATACTGACATAGGGTTTCCTGTGAACATCGGGCAGAGAGTCACAGTCGGACACAAGGTGGCACCTGTAACGTACAACGAGGACGATGTAACGGAGGCGCCAGGTGATGCTTCACGGCTGTCAGATCGGGGACGATACCCTGGTGGGCATAGGGAGCACAATCTTGTAAGTCTTGTCAGTGCCTTGCTGGCTAGTGGGGTGACTGGAGGAGCAGGAACGGGGCGAAGATCGGCAAGGGCTGTCTCATCGGTAGAGCAAGCAGCTGCCTTGAACCTCCTGTGACCGTTGAGGGACAGGGGCACACTCGCTGGTGCTGGAGAATACTGAGATCCCCGATGGGAGCCTGGTAGGAGGAGCAGAGGGAGGAGCAGAGGGAGGAGCAGAGGGAGGAGCAGAGGGAGGAGCAGAGGGAGGGGTGGGAGCTGATAGTTGGTGGAAAGGTTCTTGGAAGCCCGGCAAAGGTTGTAAAGGAGGTGTCGGCCGTGATGGTAACAAGATTGCTATGAGAGGTCTTGTGATGTTGAAGATGGTGCAGAGGGAGGCGATGAAGAGCGGGCCGTTGACTTACAAGCACAAAGCGATGGAGTTCGAGAAAGATTTGAAGGAGGTTAAGGACTGAAGCGCAGTAGGGAAACCTGTGAAAGATCAAACAAGTAGAAATGGAAGGCAGAGTGACAACGAGGTCTTGCAAAAGGACGCGGGAACGCACTCGAGTTTCATAACACGATTTTCTCCGTCCTCTTTGATAAAGAAGACATTTCTCGGTCTCCAGGAGAGATCTTGTCTCAGATCCTTCGAGATCTTGTCTTATGATGCTGCTTTATAAAAAACACTTCACTCCTTGGGCACAACTTTCCCTCAAGTGATCATTTCTTCCTTGTATTTTCGGGAATCGCCTTGCCGACCGACAGGGCCAGCACTGTGACTATCACAGGGAGTATCCAACCCCACAAGGAGCTGGAGGGGAGCCCCTGGTACCACTTATCTATAGCTCCCTCTAGGAAATCTCTCAGCTCAGGATCTATGTTCCCAACCTTGGCCCTTGCCAGCGTCTTTGCCTTCCCTTTGAGGCAGGAACCAGTGATCAAGTACCATTGTTCCTCGAGGAAGGGAGGGCAAGGGAGGATGAAGCTGCTGCGCACAGCATCTATCTCTGCTCTTGCCTCCTCCAAGTGCCACTTGAGATGGTTCTTCAGCGCCTCCTCGTTCTCGTCCTTGAACCCTCTTGCAGCCCTCGTGACGGCGTTCTGCAGGCTGGTGGCCTCCGATGCGACTAGAGGGACATCGGAGAAGGTCGACACTTGCCGGGCAAAGGTGCTGATGCAGCGGTCTGAGGCAGATTTCTCAATCTCCCTCATCTTGCTCATCCCCAAGGGCAGCAGTTTGGCCTCGAAGATGTTGTGAATGCACTCCTGCGCTGTCCTCGAGTGCTCGTTCACCGTCTTCCTGATGCAGCCCAAGTTCTTGTCTCGAAGCTTCGCCGCCTCGGTCGACATGGAGTGTTTGGTGGCCTTGGTTTGTGTCTCGTACAACCTTTCCTGTCGAAACGTCTTGCTGCTGCTCTCAAACATCTCGATACCCGCGGGTTGACATCGATGCTGGTCATAGTTGTTGAACTCAGCCGTTGAAAGGCAGGTGGACATGCCAGTCTTCATGCACGTGAGGTATTGATCAACTGCCCGCGCGCTAGTGGAGGAGAGGGATGCTTGAATCTTGTTCAGGTTCTCCTCCTTGAGCTTCGCGATGCTGAGCTCCGCCTCCTTGAAGGTGGCATCACAGAGGTCCTGATGAGACTCGTACTCCTTGCATAGGATTTGGATCTGACTCTTGAACGCAGGAAGAAGCGTATCATACACCAGCTCAGAGAACTTGGAGGAGGGGATGGGTAGCTGGATGTTCTTGAGGGAAGCAGCGAGATCTCTCTTGGCTCCGCTGGACTCCGACGTCATGTAGTCGCTGATACGTGAGCGGAGCCGAGCAAGAGAGACGTCTATCTCCTTGTTGATACTCGTCTGCAGCACCTGCTCCTGACTGCGCGTGTCTCCAGCATACCCGATGAGACTCCTGGCGAATGACTGCAAGCTTGTCTGAAGCAGCATCGAAGCCTTGGCGTTGAAGGAGGAGATAGGAAGCGGCCTGCAAGGCAGACCATGTCAGAGGCCATGTCATGGATCAGAGATGCTGCCTCATCACCTCCTCTGATTCTCCATCACTGCAAGGTATCGCTCCGCTTTTAAGAGAGTCGTTCGAGATATGTCGTTGACGTATTGAGTCCAAAACATGGTCCAGATGGAGGGAATGGGCTTCAAGGACCCGCTCTCTGCCGCCCGCTGCAGCTGCTCCAGCAGACCGGCCAGCTGGCATCTCAGCAAGTCAGGTGACTTCATCAGGGAGCACAGGAGGAGGCACCTGGAGCCCGAGGAGAGGGACGAGCTTCTTCTCTCGCTCTTCTAGGTTGGATCTCAGCGAAGCCTTTAAGCCTTCCAGGTCTGCAAGGTAGTCCTCGTGCATGCGGACCGCCGGGTCGTCGAGCTGAGCAAGCTGCTGCTTGCCCTGTAGAGTAGGGATGAAGAGAGTCTTGCAGTCGGTGGAAGCAAAGATCCTCCGTAGTGTGCGCGAAGACCCGTCTTCCCTTGGTTGAGAATCCAAGAGCTTGTCCATCCAGTCCTTGGCTGACCCTGCGGTCTCGTTCCCACCTGAGGCCATGTCTTGAAAGAAGTCTTGCACTACCCACGTGAAGGCTGGAGTGTGAATGCTCCTAGCACTGCTGCCGTCTGCTGTACCGATGTCGTCGTTGATCTTCTTCATCAGCTCCTTCTCCTTCATCTCCACCGTCTTGGTACTCCATCCAGCTCCCTGGTCGTTCTCCATGAAGACATGATTACCAAACACGTTGGCCTGACGAACCAAAAGCTCGAGCTGCTCGATCTCCCTCTGATCGATGATCTTCACCGAGTTGTACATAAGGTTCGAGCTGAGGATGTAGAGGATGGAGAAAAGTTTGGAATCGTAGTTCTTTGTGTTTCCTGGAGCTCCGAACCCTTCCACGTCCAGGAGGAGGACAGGATGCTTCAGCTCTTCCCACTCCAAGAGCTCTCCCCATGCCCACACACCTTCCGTTGTCGGCTCTACTGAGGTTCCCAAGGCAAACCCGTTTCCTCGTCCATGGGCTACCATGTTCAACAAGAACGACTTGCCTGTATGAAAGGTCCCAACTACAGACACAACATGTACCGGGACGTGAATGCTGTTCAGCCACTCCATGCCCTCCAGCACCGGCTCTAGCCCTCCTCTCCCATTGCTCCTCAAAAGCTGAAGCGGAGCTGGGTAGTTTGTCGTGGACAACGATTCAGAGGCGAGGCAAGGGGGGCTGGAGGCAGTGATGAAGAGAAGAGAGAGGAAGGAAGGAGCAAGGAAGCAGGTGGAGCTAAGTGTTACCATGCCCTCGAATGTCAGCATGACCGCAGGAGGAGCAGGAGGAGCAGGAGCAGCCTGATGGGGAATGGGGGACGGAGGGCAACTGAATGCAGGACAGTTGAAGAGGGCACCCCACCCCTACCCCTATTTTCTCTGCTATGTACCCCTCGTCTCAGCTTCACTTTCCTACCTAGAAAACATCCACCCCACCACCTTCACCGCCTCCACAAAGTTCGTTGAAGGCACGGCGCTGCCCGACTGCAAGTTGACAAGGATTGGAGCCTCAGTGTAGAGTTCGAAGAAAGCCTGGAGCAGACGGCTGAGCAGATGATGGAAGGAGCGTCGCTACCATGCGAGTCTATGGCGACGATGAGCTGCTATGGCAGCCTCGTTGTCGGCGTGCCTGAAGCGAAACCTGTGTCTGAGACAAGTGCTGCTGCTGTCCGGCTGGACATATGTACTGGTCAGAGCAGTCCGAGTAGTCAGCTACTAGATATGCCCTTTTGCCGATCGACCTGACATGACAGCACAACACGCAGATAGATTCACGCAGGATGTGTCGTTGAATAAGAATACCCACCAAGTCCTCTCAAAACGAGACAGCAGACTTTCTTTAATGTATGGCAAGACCCGAGACGAAGCACGAACAGCAAACGTGGGTGGTAAGGCATCTAACAAAACCTCTCGCTCTCCATCAACTCCAGACGCTCAAGACCCGTCATCCAATTCAGCGCAACAAAGCTCGATTCAACCATCACACCATGGATCGAGAGCATTGGAGCAATCGAGCTTGTCGTCTTCGTTGTCGATACCTGAGGCGAAGCCTGTCTCTCAACCCAGTGCTGCTGATGGTCCTAATACCAAGAAGACCAATCAGGTAGCTGTTCCTCAATCGCTGACCCATAACGAACCGCCCACAGCAAGTACGCAGCGAGAGGAAATCAAGGTTTCGGCCATAGAGGACAGGGCCAAGAGCATGGATGGACAGCAGGTCACCACAAGGGCAGAGGTAGCAGAGGGATGGCGTGACAAGCTGTCGCATGCATTCGTACCCTGCAGTCACCTGGCGATCTGCGAAGTTTGTTCGCCACTGGTCAAGCAAGGCAACATCGGCAGATGCCCAGTCTGCAATGCGGAGTGTACTTCTCCACTCGCCATGAGAAGCTATCTCCCGTGAGCTGCAGTGCCGTTGAAGTTGGCAGGACACGCTCAAGTCTACCGTGTTGAGCATGATATTGTGTGTTCAGAACTAAAGTTATCTCAGACAAGTACACGATGTTCTCTCAGGCAAGTACACGATGTTCTCTCAGGCAAGTACACGATGTTCTCTCAGGCAAGTACACGATGTTCCCTCATTCGCAACCCGCGCATGTATATTACCCACCCTCCGCCCCAAGTTTGACTCCGGCGGCAGACTACTTGCGGGAGCCTAACCCCCATCATTAGACCGTGGGATGGGCCTTCGACCGAGCTCTCGTTTTCACGCTCGGGCAAGGCAGCACATCGTGGTGCTGCGAGCACTTGTCATGAGTACAGTCCAGCTCGCTTGCACCAGCCCTCCATAAGCTCCCTGCGACGGTATCAATAGAAGTGATCTGACCGCCCTATCCCTCCGTTTATCGTCCACGTGCTCGTATGTCCAGCTCAAGAAGCTCAAGCAGAGCAGCTCTATGGCACTGCCAGTACATCACAACATATGCTGACTGACCCTCTTCAAGGGGCCCCACGCGCCTTATGTCTCAGTGGCCGCTGTGATCCTCAAGGCAAGGCGTCCTTCACATCCCCTGCTCGTACTATGACTCCGCACCCCGCCGTTTTGACGGCGACGTGGGGGTCCTACTGGCTGCCCTACTCCCGCATGCCGTGCAAGTCCCTCCCTCCCCGTCTTGGTCTCAATATCAGACGCTGACCATCCCCACGTTGGGGTGGGAAGCTGCTGCCCCTTCTCCTCCTCCTTCAACACGATGCTCCCAACGTCCACCAACCAGTCAACAGCATCCAAGTACCGTTACATGGTCCTCACGAGCACGTGCCTGCATTCTCTTCATTATCTCCATCGCAAATCCTCCTCAGCACCCGCTGACTCTGCCCAGCACCCGCTGCCGTCTCTCTCCTTCCCTAGTGTGTTGCCCCCTTGTGATCCTGCAAGCCAGTCATCTTTTCTACACTGCAGCATCTTGTCCGCACCAGATCAGCTCCTCTCCTGCTTGTACCTGCTGCTTCCTCCCCCGCACTCCTTGCATTTCGATCTCACCCGCCCGTGCTCGCATATGCTCCCTCCCCCGCACTCCTTGCATTGCGATCTCACCCGCCCGTGCTGGCATATGCTCCTGCCCCCGCACTCCTTGCATTGCGATCGGACCCGCCCGTGCTCGCATATGCTGCTGCCCCCGCATCCCTTGCATTGCGATCTCACCCGCCCGTGCTCGCATATGCTGCCCCCCCCGCATCCCTTGCATCCCGATCGCTCCCGCCCGTGCTCGCATATGCTGCCCCCCCCGCAGCCCTTGCATCTCGATCTCACCCGCCCGTGCTGGCATATGCTGCTGCCCCCGCACTCCTTGCATCCCGATCGCTGCCGCCCGTGCTCGCATATGCTCCTGCCCCCGCATCCCTTGCATTGCGATCGCTGCCGCCCGTGCTGGCATATGCTGCTGCCCCCGCATCCCTTGCATCTCGATCTAACCCGCCCGTGCTCGCATAGCTTTCTTCGTATTCGTTTGGTTTCCCTTTCTGCTTCAGATCTGCCCCCCTCCTTTTCTCTCTCTGTCTTCGTGTCTGATCCCTCCAGCCTCCTCCTCTTGCTCGACCTGCTGCCTCCTACAGCCGTCATGGCAGATTAGGTAGCCATCATCACAGTCCGCCTCAGAGAGAGTCCTAGCAGAAACGAAGGGCAGATCAAAGAATGTAACTCTGGAGGCCCGTTTCCTAGTATTTTGTTGGGGGACAGCAGTCGGCAGGATGAGGGCTGGTTCTCGCTGTACGGTCTTGATCGCACCATCATGTCCCTTACCTGTAAGACGTTCAGCGTTGCTCTCCTAAAAGACGTCCTCATTGTCTCGCCATCGCCGCTCTGCGTGACTCCAGCGCTCCCTCACATGAGGACTAAGCTGCATCCTTCCGTGCTCCCATCATGATCTCTGCCTCTCTTACAAGCTCCTCAGCTGTCTCAGATCAATCTTCCAGCAACCGCCGACACTCTATCCCAGACAAATCATGCAACAAACACTACCACATGGCTCCTCCTTCTTCTCCTTCATCACCTCTCCAGGTGCTCCCTCCTCACTATCCGGCGCCCTCCCTGGATTTCCTCGCTCACGAATCCAGCAGAGACCCTCCTAGAGGTCTCACGAGGACCTCCCTCATGTGGGTATGCCATGAGGAGCCACACCCTGGTGTTCAGTCTACCTTCCCTGTGCTCCTCTACTCCTCTGTGTCGTGACTTTAGCTCCGTCTCGAGCGACTTGGACGGTCTTCTCGTGAAGGTGAGCTGATGCTGTCCGCATGACCGTCATACCGTACAAGTCTACTCGTACTACTTGCCTCCACCTGCCCTGCCGTTTCTATTCGTTATTCCATTACCATTCAAGTGTTTTACGTCAAGCCCCTAAATCTCAATGCCGCTCCCACGTCTCCTGCCAGCCTCTCCCTCCTACGAGCGTTACCAACCACCCCGACCCTGCCTTGCGAACGCGGCCGTCCCCCTCCATCCCTTACAAGAGTGGGTGGGGGTTGCGTGGCTGGTGCTGGATAGCCTACCGGTACCACATTCTACCGCTACTGAGTTACCTCCTTGCCCAGCGCGACCATGCCATCCCTGCAAGCCAGTCATCCTGCTACACAGCAACATCTTGTCCGCTCCTGATCAGCTCCTCTCCTGCTTGTACTTGCTGCTTCCTCCCCCGCATCCCTTGCATCTCGATTTCACCCGCCCGTGCTCGCATATGCTCCCTCCCCTGCATTCCTTGCATACCGATCTCACCCGCCCGTGCTCGCATATGCTGCTCCCCCCGCAGCCCTTGCAGACCGATCGGACCCGCCCGTGCTCGCATATGCTGCCCCCCCCGCATCCCTTGCAGACCGATCGCTGCCGCCCGTGCTCGCATATGCTCCTGCCCCCGCATCCCTTGCATTGCGATCTCACCCGCCCGTGCTGGCATATGCTGCTGCCCCCGCAGCCCTTGCATCTCGATCGCTGCCGCCCGTGCTCGCATATGCTCCTGCCCCCGCAGTCCTTGCATCCCGATCGCCGCCGCCCGTGCTCGCATATGCTGCTGCCCCCGCAGTCCTTGCATCCCGATCTCACTCGCCCGTGCTCGCATATGCTGCGGCCCCCGCATCCCTTGCATCCCGATCTCACCCGCCCGTGCTCGCATATGCTGCTGCCCCCGCATCCCTTGCATTGCGATCGCTGCCGCCCATGCTCGCATATGCTCCTGCCCCCGCACTCCTTGCATCTCGATCGCTCCCGCCCGTGCTCGCATATGCTGCTGCCCCCGCACTCCTTGCATCTCGATCGCTCCCGCCCGTGCTCACATATGCTGCTGCCCCCGCAGCGCTTGCATCCCGATCGCTGCCGCCCGTGCTCGCATATGCTCCTGCCCCCGCATCCCTTGCATTTCGATCGCTCCCGCCCGTGCTCGCATATGCTCCTGCCCCCGCATCCCTTGCAGACCGATCTGACCCGCCCGTGCTCGCATATGCTGCTGCCCCCGCACTCCTTGCAGACCGATCGGACCCGCCCGTGCTCGCATATGCTGCCGCCCCCGCATCCCTTGCATTTCGATCGCTGCCGTCCATGCTCGCATGTACTTCTTCGTGTTGGCGATCTCTTCTTCGCTCTCTTTGCGTTTGCTTCCATTTCTCTCTCCTCTCTCGCCTCGTCTGATCCCTCCAGCCTTCTCCTCTTGCTCGACCTGCTACCTCCTACAGCCGACATGTTGCGCTGTCACTCATCCCCCTCATACATCACTCTGACACAGCGCCGCAGCAGCGCCGGCTCAAATGCGGGTCGCTTGCGTGGTTGGAGTCGCTTGCGTGGTTGGTGCCGGTTTTCGCTGCCTCCTTCGTTTCCTAGTATTTTATTGAGGCGGGTTTGTTGGCTCTATCCTTTGTTTGCTTCGGTTTGTCCTTCTTTTTCAGTCAAATAAAGGGTAACTGGGCCCCGGCCGGGCCGCAAAGCGAGTAACGGTTTATAACGGTGTTGACGAAAGGGCGCCGGGGCAACGATACAGTGAAATGAGGAAATAGAGTAGCAGAGGGAGAGAAGGAGGAAGAGGAGCAGGAGGAGCAGGAGGAGGAGGAGGAAGAGGAGCAGGATCAGGAGGAGGAGCAGGAGGAGGTTTTCGTTTCCAGCAGCACGAGGATGGTGTAGTTGTTTGATGCACTGATGAAATGGAGATTGGAATGATCATGATAGAAATATTCGAGATTTATGAGAAGGAGCAGCGTCAGCATCAGTAGCAGCAGCAGCAGCAGCAGCAGCAGCAAAAGGGCGAAGAGGAGAAGGACGATCGATGGAGTGATTCAAATAGAAGAAATTTGCATGGTGAAGAATTGTTCCGGGGATCCAATCATATGATGCTAACTGGAAGAAACAGAGCGCATCTGATTTATACAAAGAGAATTCACTTCAAAGATCTTACATGGGATATTCGGACCTGTAGAGAGTACACATAGCCGGTAGAAAGAAAGAGATGCGAAAAGAGAAGATCCTTTCATGTTCTCGAATGGTCTTGGAATGATTCTTTCACACTGAGCCAGCAAGCATTCAGAGCTCCTCACTCGCTCTGACTAACGACTGAACTCTTCCTCCAGGTATTGGCAGGGTAAATCTACCGAGGCAATGACGAGACGAGTGGTTTGAGGGGAGTCAGCTCCATGAAAGCTGATTGAAGACAAGCGCTCAGAGAGGAGCTCGGGAGTGCGCGTTCATTTTGTGTTGCTGGAAGAATGCCTGTAGGGGACCTCGCAGGTTTGACTGTCCTGTCCTCGTGCTTGCCACCATGACAAAATCTGGCAGAGACGAATGGCTGGGTCATTATCCTTGTCATCTCTTTCCTGTTCTTTATCGCTGCAGGCAAGTTCTACATCTGTTGTGCATCACGCTTAATCTTGGAACGTCTGAGATCTTGACGCCAGTGCTTGCGGCAAGAAAGATTCAGTGGTTCGCGCGATGGCCTACACTCTCGTCCTTGTTATCCTGGCTACGTACTTGATCTGGTGGCAGTTGGTTCCGGAGATCAGGTGAAGCTCAAGAGCTAGCAATCTGTCTTGTTTCTGAATTGCTCCCTGTAGAAAATGGCACAACTTGGTTCCCGCCGATTGTATGATCGCAGGGAAGGCACAACTGTTGTCGTATCACACTCACCATGGACATGAAGTGCAAGTAGCACATGTGAGTGGACAGTTGGAGGAGAGGAGAGTATGTCACGCTTGTTTGCAGCTACCCGTCAACGTGAGTCACATACAATGTCATGGGCAGATAGGAAACGGTGAGGTTTCGTTGTCAACAATCATGAAATGTTGATTTCCTGTTCAGACATTGAAATGTCCGACATGCAAGGCAGCAAGACATACAACCCGGAGAACGGTTTTTTCCAATCTATCATTGCCCCCTCCCCCGACCTTTCTCTCCTCTCTTCCCCCTCGTCTCTTCTTTCTTTTAAGTTTGTGTTCTCTCTTCTATCTCTTCTCCTCTCTTCTTTCTTTTAGATTTGTTTATTCTATCTTGTGACATTCGTGGTGGCAGACGTTATCTTTTGCTCCACGGGGACCACGATCAATAACGGCTCGACGTAGGAGGCTCGCCGGCCATCCCTTCCTCTCTCACTTTAGCTGCAGCGCCTACATCAAGTTAGAAGACTGGCACTGGCTTGACCCCGATGAGCAGAAAGATGCCATTGGCAAGTACGAGGAGGTAACTTCTCTTCCTGCTGCTGCTGCTGCTGCTGCTGCTGCTCTCGCCCTCTCCACATCAGCCTCGGTGACATGCTTGCAGGGCAAATCTTATTTCTGCTGGGTCGATCCGACGAGCCCCAACTACGTCACTTTCGAGAACAATCAAGACTGGTCAGCCATCTTCTACCCCCTCGTCTGCTTGTTCCTGGTAAGAACTCCCCCTTGTACTCCCGCAGGTCAAACTGAAGGTAACTTCCCAGATAATTTTCCTCTGCTGGTCTGCAGGGAGCTTCACTCTCTTCGGGTAACCTTGACATCACCCGTCATTGAGTTGTTCTCCCTCGTTCTCTTACCCTCCTCACCATTGCCCCGTCCTTCTCTCCTCTTGTCATCGCTTGCAATGACCAAACGCTCTCAGCGCTTGTTTCAATCTTGCTCGCTGCGATCCAGTGATCCTTCGCATCGATGCCTCAACTCCGACAGGTACAATCACGCCAGGTGCATTGGCCCATGACATTGGACTAGATGAGCTGCGACGGCGGCGAGGAGATTACGATATTATTTAACAGATCAGCTTGACCGAATCAAATAAACCGCATCAACAAGATCAGCAGACAGGCGTCGAGCAGGATGAGAAGGATCAAACGATCTCAGCGTTCAATGGTGAGAAGAGAGTGTAGGGGCCTGCCGGAAAAGGATCGATTGCAGATCTGAAGACGCCTAGCACCCCTCATTCAAGTTAACTGACAAGAATTGCACTTGCACTTAGCAAACATCACTCTCTGTTGTGCTTGCACTCAACTCAACACGCCTTCTCACTTGACGATCTCCCTCTGCACGACTTACAAGGCAACTCACAGCATCTCTGCAACCCAACATGACTGCATCATGGCCTCATACGTGCATTTCTCACAAGTCGACTCTGCTCAAGTCTCTGCTGCCCTCATGCTGCTGAAATGAAGGAGAGAGATTGAAAATAATCAGAGAGAGCAAAAAAATTGCGATGAGAATCAAAGGGAACAGAAAATTGATATGCGTGAGAAAGAGAGTTGACGCTTGCAAACAAATTAACCAATGCGGCAATCTCATAAACTGCGATCAAGAATCATTTTCCCAAGCAATCATTGTCCGTGCAAGAGGCAGACAACGCTAGTATTATCCTTAGCATATCATATTAGTCATAAGCAGTGCCATACGAACTTGCAAACAACTGAGATAAATTGGGACTCGATTGATCCGATTCCTGCAAAAAAATTGATGGTGTCCCGAATATCCACAATCCCCGCGCCAAGGAATTATATGCTGGATGAATCGGAGGACTGAACGTATTCCAGCCCAGATTTCTTCAGCGTACTGATGCATCATTGCAACACGGAGTTGCCAACATATGCGTTGCGAGCATCTTCGGAAGGCATCGATCAGTATGGACGTGCTCTGTCTCTGCCATCTCTATCAAATGGGCGCATTGGACCACCGCGACCGTCAGGAGGAGGGCCCCTTCGATCCATGTCTAACAGTCCCAGTCAGGCCGAGAGTTACACCCATCATTTCTTTGTGTACCTGGCATGCCGCCTGGAGGACCCTGACCGTACCCTGGACCAGCCGGAGCTCCACTGTTGCTTGATTCAGGAATGATCCAACAAAAACGAGAAGTTTACCCGGGTCCGCCCCGGTAAGGATCTCCAGAGTAAGGACCAGGGCCACCCCGTCCGAAGTCTCTGTCGACTGTAGCTGGGTCAGTCCCGCAACGCCAACATGCAGGGTGAAACGTTTCTAGTCACCTGGAGGGCCACGACCACGATCATCTCTCATCCCACCTTCTCGATCGTCAGATGAAAGAGAAGCACCAACCCCCTTTTTAGCTCCCAAACCTGGAGGACGGCGATCATCCATTCGGGGCCTCTCGGCGGATCGATCGCCGGGAGGAGGTCCTCGCTCCCCTCGTCCATACCCACGACCGTCATAATCTACTTGCACACCGCCAAGTCAGGACAGCTATCTAACGTTAAAGACAAGCACCTCTCATGCCACCACCCATTCGTCCCCCCCTGTCGTCCATCCTGAAAACCGATCAGCACCACTCCTTCCACCAGAAGAGCGGCTCTCACGGAGGCCCACGGGGACCGCGATCATCCATTCCTCGAGGGAAGCCCCTGTCGGGAGGATAGCCGCCACGGTCTTGCATGTAGGATGGTCTGCCCATCCCGCGATCGTCATTGCGACCACCGTCTGGTCCGAAACGATCGTCGCCGCGGTCTCCGTATCTGTCTGGCCCTCTACGAAAGTCTCCTCTACGGTCATCCATCCCTCTTGGAGGATAACGATCCATCGGCGGTCCGCCCCGAGGACCTCTATCGTCAGGCATCGGCCTTCCCATGTCCCTGTCATCATGCCGATAATAGCCGCGGGGAGGCCCACGTTCGTCCATGCGTGGAGGGGATCGAGGACGATCTGAAATTCTGTCATAAAAGCCTACATCTTCATGACAGTGGCGTTTGTGAACATGAAAGGAATGGATGCCAGATATCAACACCAACACAAGGTTTCAACTTACCCATTCTCTCACGATCCCGGCCAAAGTCTCTCCTGTCACCCATGGGTCTGAGCAGTCAAGAGTATGAGTGATACCATGGACCCTGTAAAACAGGAGCAGATACCTTCTATCTCTCATCGGGCCCGAACCTGGAGCTCTCTCAGTCGCAACTTTGACTGTGATCTGCACCAGGACTAGTGAGCTCCACAGAGTCAGGTTTCCAACTTTGTACCTTTCGGCCTTCGATCTCTGACTCATGCAAGACGCGGATGGCTTCTTCAGAATCTTCCTTCCTTTCATAAATGACGAAGCCAAACCCTCGAGACTTTCCAGCATGTTCACCAACTTTCTCAACAATGACCTGCACGGCTCTCCATCACAACGCGACCACACGATCGACACTCGCTATCTCACGTTCGCAGAAATCACGTTTCCGTATTGAGAGAAATGCTCCCGAAGATCCTCGTCACTGTACTTCCATGGGATCCCGCCGACAAAAAGTTTGAAACCAGCCGGCTCGTTGGATTGTCCCATGTCAGCTCTGCTGCCTCCGGGATATTCGCTTGCAACGGCATAGCCACTCGTGTAGTCAGCACCAGCACCTCCTCCTTGGCCCTCTTGCCCTTGCTGATAAACAAGCCCAGATTGATACTCCTGATTGCCGCCCGATCCGTGATCGCCTCCTCCGTAGTCCGACATCTGTCATGCACAGCTAAGCACCAAACCAGCAGCTGCAACAACAGAGGCATTGTGTGTGCTATGTTTCATGGTGTTTCCAACAACATGCAAGGAAGAAAGAGACAAGAGTCTGCAGCTGTGATAGGGAAATAAGGCAAGGGACCTGACTGCAAAATAGAAAGAAAACCGTATCAGCACACACGGTTCATACAATCACCAAAGGAAAATATTTCTCAATGGTAAGGTTTCTTCAAGGAAATTTCTTGTACATGGTAAGGTTTCTTCAAGGAAATTTCTTGTTACGAACCCTCCCCCCCACCACATCAACCCTGCCTGCTCTCCTCGCCTCGTTGCCGTCTCAGCTTTTCCTGCTACCTTTTCTTTCCTTCTACCGTCCTGCTCCTCCTCTGATCTCCTGTTCTCCTGCTCCCCTCGTCCCCTCGTCCCCTCCTGCTCCTGCTCCCCTTCTAACTCCTGCCCTGTGTCCCTGCTTCCCTTCATCCCCGCTCCCCTGCATCCCGCTTCCGTACTAGAAAACTCGACATCTGCCATTGGCGACGGGCAGCGGATCTCGCAGGGACTGAGGACCCACCCCCTTTACTTTGTTTTACTATAAAGATATAGGGTAGTCGAAGTATAAGTACCCCTAGTGGGCAGGTCAAACACTACCCGTTCAATTCTACCCCCGAGATCTTTCCGTCGTCCATGCTTTATCGTTTTGATTTCCAAATAATCAGCAATTTTCTATTTATATAGAAATATTATCAAATACGTTTTTCAGAGTTTCAAATTTGGGAAGAAAGTTTACAATCTAAGTTTTCAAAAAGCCCCTGATGGTTTATTCAGCTCCCTGCACCCAGCGAAGGTTTACTCATTGTTTTGATGCTATAAAATTTTCGTTATTGCCATTGATATTTGTACTGCATTATTCATATCAGTACAAATATCATTTACAATTAAAAAACTATTCTTCTGAAATTTTTATTGAGTAAATTAATCAGTACAAAATAAAACGTTTTGAATAATAAGAACAGGTACTATTCTCCTATGCCGAGACTACCTACCCCAAACCTATGCATTAATAAACGCCCGCACGAGAACAGATCTAGCGAAAGAGTGCAGCGCCACGTCCAACAGCTAGAGGGCAGCGCTGTATTCCTGCGATGTCTACAGCAGCAGACTGTGGAACGACACGCAAGAGGAGGAGGAAGATGAGCGATGAGAAGGAGAGACAAGAAGGAAGAGAAGGAGTTGACACATTGAAAGGAGAAGGACGAGTAGAAAACAAAAGGATACGAAGGAGTTTATGTGAGCACGGGCGGCAGCGATCGCAATGCAAGGAGTGCGGGGGCAGCAGCATATGCGAGCACGGGCGGCGACGATCGCAATGCAAGGAGTGCGGGGGCAGCAGCATATGCGAGCACGGGCGGCGACGATCGCAATGCAAGGAGTGCGGGGGCAGCAGCATATGCGAGCACGGGCGGGAACGATCGCAATGCAAGGGATGCGGGGGGGGCAGCATATGCGAGCACGGGCGGGTCCGATCGGGATGCAAGGGATGCGGGGGCAGGAGCATATGCGAGCACGGGCGGCGACGATCGCAATGCAAGGAGTGCGGGGGCAGCAGCATATGCGAGCACGGACGGCGGCGATTGGAATGCAAGGGATGCGGGGGCGGCAGCATATGCGAGCACGGGCGGCAGCGATCGGTATGCAAGGGATGCGGGGGCAGCAGCATATGCGAGCACGGGCGGCAGCGATCGGGATGCAAGGAGTGCGGGGGCAGGAGCATATGTGAGCACGGGCGGCAGCGATCGGGATGCAAGGAGTGCGGGGGCAGGAGCATATGTGAGCACGGGCGGCAGCGATCGCAATGCAAGGAGTGCGGGGGCAGGAGCATATGCGAGCACGGGCGGCAGCGATCGGTCTGCAAGGGATGCGGGGGCAGGAGCATATGCGAGCACGGGCGGATCAGATCGAGATGCAAGGGATGCGGGGGGGGCAGCATATGCGAGCACGGGCGGGTCCGATCGCAATGCAAGGAGTGCGGGGGCAGGAGCATATGCGAGCACGGGCGGCAGCGATCGAGATGCAAGGAGTGCGGGGGCAGCAGCATATGCGAGCACGGGCGGATCAGATCGAGATGCAAGGGATGCGGGGGCAGCAGCATATGCGAGCACGGGCGGGTCCGATCGGGATGCAAGGAGTGCGGGGGCAGCAGCATTATGCGAGCACGGGCGGCAGCGATCGGTCTGCTAGGACTGAAGGGCACTTGCGGGGGAGGGAGCACGTAGAAGAAGATGAGTGATGGAGAAAAAGGTTAAGCTAACGGAGATCGGAGCAAATCTCACCGAGCTCGATCGAAACCATCGTTGCGCCTCTTGGAATCTGCAACGCCAGATGCTTGCTTGACCTCTTGGCCTCCACTTGGCCTCTACGACCCTCGAGCGAGATGACTGAAGATACCATCCTGGTACAACAGTGATCGTTTTTTGATCCATCGGCATGTAAGCATGATACCTTAGCTCTGCTTTCAAGCTTGCTCCTGCTGCATCAAAAGTGCAGACTTGAACGCATCAATAACTTTTGGGCGCATCCTCGAGTACAATCTCAAGAGGATACTTGTGATACCAAGGGTGGTCTAGGTCGACTTTCACCTATTAGCGATCATTGATCTGTATGTATCTGGAGATCCATTGTCGTCATCAATCTGATGTTGCAAGGGTTTATTCTGATTACTCCTTGTTGCTGACATTCCTCCTTGTTGGATAGATATTCAACCTCGATCAGTTGATCGTGGTTCTTCTTGAACTTCTTGTTCTTCTTCTTCTTCTTCTTCTTCTTCTTCTTCTTCTTCTTCTTCTTCTTCTTCTTCTTCTTCTTCTTCTTCCCCACCCTTCTGTTCCTCCACCACGGCCTGACGGATCCCGGTTGGTCCTCGCTCATCGCCTCTAGTACAGTATGCCTGCCAGAGGGTTGAGTCTCCGACTCCTCCCTGATGATCTGTCGCATTGCGGCCAATCATAGCTTCAGTTTACGTTCTCGTCTTAGAGTCCCTTGAACGCCCCACTTGTCAGTGTTGGACTCCGATCCATGATCTCGGATGATCATCTCGATTCACTGACAACTGGCCAGTGGTGACCCGCCGCCGGGACCGGGGCCCGGGCCCGGGCCCGGCCACCTCAGTCCGGTCCCCTCTGAGTCTCACCAGTCCAACCGTGAACCGTTCATCTTCAATTTCATGGGTCAACTTGTCCCGGCGGCAGTCCCGGCGGCCCTACAGTCTTACTTTACTCAAAGTTAAGTTAAAAATCAGTACGAGGACAATCAGGAGAGTCGAGGAGGCCGCGCTTGACCCTCAGCCTGACACTGTCGCACAGGCCAAACGGCGAGAAGAGAAAAGACAGCGAGAACCAAACCTAATCCTGCCGACTGCTGTCCCCCAAACTTAACTGATACCTTCACTTAACGGCGCGCAGGACAAGTCCCCCGCGCGGCCATGCCAGCGATGTCGCGGTGGCCGCCGCCGAAGGAATGAGACGCATACCGGGATGCACCCGCGATGATGGCAGCGTAGGACAGGGAGGCCTTGAGCTGACGGAAGATCCTGGACCGAATGCGTTTGCAAGTCGGATCACCTGAGACGTCTTGCGAGGCCGAGAGACCATCCAGCGCTGCCGTTTCCTTGTTCGCCGAGCGATCCGCCAGCCACCACAGAAAGCGCAACGCATCGTCCTGCAAGAGGCCATCAGTGCTGGCGATGATGGGAAGAAAGGCCTTTGGCGGGACGTGTTGAGCATATGCATTACGATGCCCTCGGATCTTCCGCTGTGCTGCCGCTTGCAGTTTGCTCCGAGCGAGGTCCGGTATTCCATCATTGTCAAACACATGTGACATGCTGAAGTCCAGGATTAACCCATGCCATCCGCCGCCAGTAGCCATCAGTTGTGGAAGTTCAAAGTCCCCTACATGATGATCTTCCGGGCCATGTTGGGAAACGTTCTGCCTGGTGCCGGGTACGCCTTGCACGTGGACGCGGCATCTCACTCCGGAATCTTTGATGAGGGTACTGAGGACGGCATTGCACTTCTCATGCGCATCAGTCCATAACTGGCTGCGGTGCCTGCAGGTTGCCATGTGTGTGGTCCCCCCAGGATGACGGAGAAGATGATGGCATCGATCGCAGTGCGGCGGGAGGTCAACCGGCAATCCATGAAGAAACTTGTCAGCGGCAGCCACCAAGCTGATGGGCTGCTGCTCAAAGATCCCAAGGTTTGTACTTTCCATAGTCGAGTGCCAAATCGTGCGCTGAGGGGTAAACTGAGACAGAAGTTCATCAACCGGGTGGCCTGGTACTCGAAGGGGAGTAGAGAAGCTGGAGTGGTGTGCCAACAAAGATCTCTGGCGCTCTGAAAGGTGAGCCCGAATACTGCGGAACCGGGGAAACTCCGAGAGGAACTGAGCCGTGAGCTCCCGCTGGGCGGGGATGAAAAGCACACTGCCCGACGTCCCAAATAATTCAGGCGAGGGGATCCAGCCATTGTCGCACGCCTGAGGAAGCTCCGCCAAGGAGGTGTACGCCGAGATGCCCTGCTCCATCAAGTGCCTGTGAGTGTCCAAGAAGGCAGCAAGCATGGGGACAACATCCCCAGCGTCCGCTTGCTGCGGTTGGCGGATTCGAAGCTCAGTGTCAGAATTGATCCGGTGGAAGAGTGGCGGTGTAGGGCCGAAAGTCCAATGCTGGAAGATGGCAATTTCACCCGCCCATTTGAGAAACTTGGCAGTCGCCGACCAGAATGCGGTGTAGGCCACGCCCTCCTGCGGGGTGAACCCATCTCCTCCAGCACTATAAGGCAACTGACGTTTGAAGTAGGCGAACTGAAGGTCAGATGGAGGGGTGCCAGGGGCAGGTTGCAGGACAGATGAACCCTCCTGTGCCTGGTTCTGTGGCCACTGAAACACCTTCGCCAGGAGACGGAGATTCGCGACGTCAAAGCACTTGCACTGGTAGTGCCACAGCCCTGGGACCGGTAGTGGCTTCTACCGGTAGTTTTGACCTGAATATGAGGTAAAGGGGTAGAGGTGGGCCCTCTACAGCATGCTATTTGTACCCCCCGGAGTTTCCGAGTACCCCACCTCATCCTGCTTCCTGCTTCAACCACCCGTACTGGTCTAAATAGCACCTACCCGTATATCGTGTATGCATATCCACTCGTCGACTGGACCCACCCTATCCCCTGCTGGTTGCTATTGGAACCATGTGGATGAGGCTGGAATGTACCCTTTCACCAAGCACCCTCTGTATCAATACCCACCCTTGTATGCGACCACCCCCTTCTTTTCGAGAGGACCGGTGGTCCCTTCTTTCCGCTTCGAATGTAGATGGAGCCTTTCGGCATCATGAGCGAAGAAGTTGCGACATGAACCTGAACAGTCACTGGAGCAGCAGAAGCGAAACCCTCCTGCTCCTCCTGCTCCTCCTCCTGCTCCTCCTCCTCTTGCTCTTTGTCCCCTACTTTGCTCTTTGCTCTCTCCCCCTCATTCACTAACCCCCACCATCTCGAGGCCCCAAATCCCTTCACTGCTACCCAGATAGCAAATCCCCTCGTTACAGCCCTCTCCTCCGCTCGTATTTCTCATCCTCAAACTCTGTCTGTCTTGAAAACTTTTCTCATCCTCGCTGCTTGCTGCTCCTTGACTTCCCTCAATCGTCTTGTGCATCGCCAAATGTGGCTTAATTCACCGACCTCGATAGCCATTCTTGAAGGAAAAATTTCAACTCAATCAAATCAAAATGAAAACCATGTATTGTTTTTGAAACACCTGAGCATACTGGTAGAAAAGGAAATAGTTGCGAATTGTGGTTCAAGCTAAATCATCCCAAATTCTCTTCCCCCTCTAACGTTTGTGTGTACTCAGGATTCTGGTATCAGGCTGGTCACAGTCAACATGCAGTCATCGTTCGATCGTTTACAGATGAACGGGTACACTCTGACTAGTTTCTATGACAAGTATTACAGCCTTGGAACCTCTCCTCTCGCCTCGCGCACATCTCGACCCTCCTACTCTGTCGCAGCCTCTCCCAGCTACCTCGCCTCGCAGAGCCCGTCATATGCAGCTTCACAGAGGGACAAGGAAGGGACGAGGACGCAGACGCCACCGCGGAACGAGCAGAGCCATTCTTCCAGCTCCACCTCCGTCAGGTATGTCTCCCATGCTCCCAACGAGAAGCACATAGTCTCAATCACGAGCCCGGGGACAAGCGACAAGAACGGCGCCTCCGGTGCGAGGTCAGGGAGCAATCAAGCAGCAACGACACCACGAGTCGCGAAGCTGAGCGATCAAAGACAGCTGTACAGGAGCACAGAGCAGAGGCTTCACGACACGAACAACTTCGGGGTCGGAATCGACATTGACCCCAAGACAATGACAGTGACGGCCTTGAAACCGGGCTGCTCTGCTGCGTTGAAAGGGGACATTTCTGTGGGGGATGAGCTGATTCTTGTGGACGGGGTGCAGTGCAAAACTTCCCAAGACGTCTTGCAACACGTGCTCGGGCGGCAGGGCACAGAGGTTATGATATCATTCCGACGTCCTAACGGACAGCAGTACTCAGTCAGACTGCTCAGAGGAGGTAAAGGATTGATATGAATGCATCGCTACGACATCCTCACTGAGCGCCGCCGTGCGATGTAGGTTCTGACTTCATTCAATTCTGGGAGAGGTATCGCTCCCTCGAAGTGAAGGTAGCGACGTTGGAGAATGAGAACGCGCGGCTCCTCTCAGAGAATGGAAGGTAGAGAATCGCACCTTGCGATTAGTTTCGATGATCACATGTTGTGACTTGTACCAATGTGGCAGGATGAGTCGAGGCAAGAACTACTTGTCATTTGATGAGAACAACAACAATGCTTTGATACAGGTGCATCCAAAAAACATTCTTGGTCTTCAACATCTGCCAGAATCTGAAACTTTGATGAAAACCAGAACTTGTTCGAGCAGCTAGAACAAATGAAATCTCATGTCAATCAGTTGGAGACACAAAACCAAGAGCTCAGACAGAGAGTTTCCAGCTCAACCAGGGCGTCTGTGGAGGACAGGAACGAAGGGCACGTCCTGCAGCAGATGGCGGAGGTGCACGAGAAGAACGCAGTGCTTCAGATGCAGGTGGCGTCTCTACAAAAACTTCTCCACGAGAAAGACGATCAGATCTACTCGCTCAACAGGAAGAACATCGAGCTGCATCAGAGCAACATGAAGCTCATGCACGACAAAGACCTCGAGCGGTACCCCCAGAAGGACCTCGCGACCCCCCCCACCCCTCCTCTGGTCTCTTCGAAGCGACAGACGCTGGTTTGCGGTGTCAACTGTCCAGCAGACATGATCGCTGACCCTCCACACTGCAGGACTCTCACGTCAGCCCGGACTCGCAGCACATGGTCAGTCTAGAGCAAGGGCTGTTCCGACTGCTCACAGGCTGATGCAGGTGTTGGACTCCGGTGGGAGTCGCAAGAGTCCCGAGACTAGTGCCCTCAACGGATCCAGCATGACAGCCTTGTAGGGGTCGAGCTGTTCCCCGGCAGCGGAGGGACTCATCTTTGACACAGGATGAAGGAGAGGAACGGGGCGTCCATCATGAACCCTCAAGGGGCTTCGGGAGTATCGGAGGGAGGCGTTCGAGACGTCACTGCGGTAGCCTCATGCTCAGACTCCGCACTCCTGTCTTGTGACCTGACTGCTCGTAGGGCATGGCGGCTGCCACCCCGCGGTCGGCTGGAAGCTCTCCTCCGCCAAGGTACGAGCGAGCGCATACTACTGTCCGGGCCCCTGCCAGTCAGGACATCCAGCTCAGTCAGAGGCCCCCGCCCTCCATCGCGTTCATCCCCCCGGTCGAAATGCACAGTGCTGTGTCCGTGTGGAACGGGAACGGCGGCCATCCTATCGCAAACAACCCTCAGAGGATGGTACATATGTCGGGCTTCCAGGGCTCCTCGATGGCACCTTCTGCGATGAACTCTGCTATACCAGCGGTCTCCAGGCACTACCCAGGGAGTCAGAGCTACCTGCAGTCTCACTTGCCTTCTCGTTAGGGAGAGCAGGCATGTCTACCATAGTTCATACTTCACATAATCTGCAAGGAAGCGAATTCTGTTGTAAATTTATCACTATGCTATGAAACTAGAAACAATTGTACGCAATGGATGAGCGATGTAGCGGCATGGCAGGATCCTGGTGTGACCGAAACCTCCTCTGCAAGGGACTGGTCATGCTTCTGCTCTGCTCCTTAAGGGTTCAGCAGCACAGAGCGACGCAGGAGCTGCTTCCGTGGACGTCTCGTGCATCTGCCTGCACAACCACAGGCCCTGTCTTCCGCTGCAGTGCATCTTAGCGAATTGCCTTGCCCAGTCTTGTATCTTCTTCTCTCCCATCTTCACATTCCCCAATATCAGTCCTCCCACAAAATTCTCCAGAGTCCTGGCAACGACGTCAGTAAAAGCAGATGGCGTGAAGGTGGAGATAGTGAGATGATGACAGGATGCTTTTTGGACACAAATGCGAGCAGAAACGGTCTCCTCACTATCAAAATAAGATGGACACAGGGTAAATATTTTTCTTGCTACAGAGAGAGGTATCGTTGAACAACACAAGGGCCGTGGAACCATTGTTCAGGGAATTCAAGTCATTTTTCAGAGACATCAAGTCGATTTTCAAGACATCAAGTCACTTTTCAGAGAATTCAAGCATTTTTCAGGGACATCAAGTCGATTTCAGGCACATCCAGTCATTTTCAGGGCTCAGCGCGAGTTTCTCACCTGTGTATCGCCTGAAATCGAGGAGAAGAATTTTCGGCCATGTCCGGGTTTTGCAAAGAGCAGGAGGAGGAGGAGGAGGAGGAGGAGGAGGAGGAGGTAGAAGAAATTTCCTTAGGGAATGCTCTGGTCTGAACCATGATGCCGTATCGGGTGTATGAGGGGTTGTCGGCGTCAGGAGTGTACGAAGATTCGCTCTTGCAGAAACAGATGTTTCGCAAGTTGACATTGCAGACGTTCACTTCCATCGTTCGGTTCTCAAGGTCCACCACGGAATCTTCGAGCAGGTAGAAGGGACGCACACTGCATACAAGATATCACTACCCGAGAGGCCGCGGGCGTCTTGGCATGGCAGGACTCACGAGGCGCCAAGGATGGGGCGGAGGACGAAGGGTGTTTTGGAATAGAGGGTCAGCAGCCTCCTGCTGTGCAGACGACCCTGGACGTCGATATGCCTGTCGATCACGTCGACGTCTCTCACCCACGCATGCCCGTTGTACTTGTCCCACTAGGATAAGTCAGGAGATGGAACAAGTGGGACCGGGAGGGAAGGGGAAGGGGAAAGGGGAAGAGGAGGGGAGGGAAGGAGGATAAAAAAGAAGGGGAGGAAAGAGGGAGGAGGACAGGGAAGGAGGTTCAGCTTACCAGGAAGGCAGTGACCATGCTCCAGCTCTTGGGATAAACTCCCTGATGCTCCTGAGTGGTCGGCATAACTCTCCCGTTGCAATGCTCCTCGACGCTGCTTCAATTTCTTCTCCTGATGCATGAAGTCACCGGCTGGACTTAAAGCATACTCTGTGCACTCTTCTATCTCAGTCTTGAACTGTTTGCGGCACACGAAGGGAAGATACACACACCATAGCGTTATCGACAACCTCTGCCGAACCTCTCCCAAAGTCATTTCCAGTGTCATTCTCCCTTCTTAGGTAGCAACACTCGAGCCTTGTTTATGCCCTCCAAACTTTCTGACTTTCTTATCTTGATCATGAATCTACTCTGCGTACATCGTTTACACCGCACCATTTCTGAACCTCACTGCTCATGATCTGACACTGCCTTTTAACTCTACTCCGTCTCGTATGTTGATTTTTCCCCTTAGGTCGGTAACACTTGTACAGTTTTCCAGTCACCTCTCAATCTTGTGCACATCCAAATCTTTATACTACCTTGGTCATATTTTTCGCATCATTTGTCTTGGATAACACCAAACATCCACCTACTTTCCTTCTCCTGCTCTTTCTCCTGCTCCTGATCCTGCTCCTGCTCCTGCTCCTGCTCCTGCTCCTGCTCCTGCTCCTGCTCCTGCTCCTGCTCCTGCTCCTCCTGATCCTGCTCTTGCTTCTTCCCCTGGTCCTTCTCTGCTACTCTCGTCCTCCTCCTCCTCGTGCATGGCTCCGCGTCTTCTTCTCTCCTCTAGCCGGCATAGCGATCCCTCCTACCGTAAAGACCCTACCCCTTACAACAAATCATGTAATGCCCACCCTCCCCTTTGATGACCCTACCCATTTTCATTCACAACCCCTTGTCCTTTTTGAGTCCTGTATAACCCCTACGAGACTAGTGCAATGAGGGGGTCATAGAAACACCCACCCCTCTCTATCACTCTTTTTTTCTATGACCCACCAGTTGAGAATCAAGAATTTTGGGAGAACCCCAGGCAGATACCGCGAGGATCTTCTATATCTCTCCATAGACATTTATGATGAAACAATATTTTTCTACGAACGACCCAGTTTTTTATATGAAATAAATTGATTTACTCAATTTTGAGGATATTCTATTGAAATGGCTTTTGATGTCAATAGAATCTGAAACGTATGCCGGTCTCCTAGGAGGACGGGTTCTCGAACTAAACCTTCTCCTTAGATAAATGCAAAATTTGTAGCTATAATTTGGAATATATATAAGAATAAATTGAAAACTACTGCAAAATTTGAAAATTAAAATAATTTAGATTGTAAATGGTTTTACACATACAAAACCTTTCACAAATCGTGCGCAGAAATAGGGGTCGATTGAGACGGTCGATGCAAGAATGGATGACAAGGCAAGGCAGTGAGTAAGATCGAGAGAGGACAGGAGAGAACAGCAAGCAGAATCAGCAGGAAATACTTCGAAGGACAGTACTACTTCAGACATTCTTGTCTTCTGAGCGCTAGACAGACGTCTTCGGTCTTCGCAATACCAGTTTGTGCTATTGCAACTTACCGCGTGTACACAGCAAGCCGTATCGCACACGTCGAGAACGCACAAAGAAACAACAGGCTCTCACTCTCTGTGATATATTTGAGCTAGAGGAACGCTGAATTGATATCCATATTCGCATCGGATCCGTGGTATTATCAAAAATACGAAAATGTCCTGCTTCAGTGGGGCGTGGGAGGAGGTGGACGAGGCGTTGGTCATTGAGTTCCATGTCATGTCTTTCCTCCAAAAGCTGCTATCTTACATAAAGCTGGTGAGAAACATGCTCTGCAGGCAAACTTTGCGTTCGTTGATGGTGTCTGCAGGCAGCGATAGTCGTGGTGTCGATGCTCTCCTTGTGCATGCTATTGCAACACAGCTCGAGTTCAGTGCCGAGCACGCAAGGAGCTGAGTTTGCGATCTTGGAGCTGCTTGCGGACTCAGGTGAGATCTGAAGGAGGATATGAAGAGGAACGGATAACGTATGCAGCAGGCTGGTTCAATGGGGCAAACCAGAGCTTGTCATACGCTGCCACGTGGCTGAAGGAGGACATCTTCAAGAGTGCAAAGCTCCAGCCATGAGGGAGAAGTTAACATTGGTTGCTCTTTGAATGTACACTAGGTTCATGATCGTCATGAGGAAAGATGTAAACTGCTACTGCAGTCATTGACTGCTTGAATGCCGTTTTCAGGCCCTTCCATGACCCCCAGCACTTGGGAGAGGATTTTGACGTTCTCTTCGGCCTCTTCCAATTTTAGCTGATCGCTGTGACAGTATCAGGAGACATGCTTGCGATAGACACCCGCTCTTACACATCCTCCGACGACATGCGCATCCCATCCCTCCTCGACTTGAAATGCCGCAGCTGATGTTTGATCCATTCCTGTAGAGGATGAGCAGGGGAAGGACAGCGGAGAGGGTAATCAAAGATAGTAGAGGAGCATGGTTCCTACCCTCAGCAAGATCTTCTCAGCTGCCGAGTTCGAAGCTCTCCTCAAAAGATGAGGGCCAACCAGCCTTGACAACCCGCAAAGTCAGCAGCAGCTTCCCAACTGAAAGGTATGGGCATACATCCTCTCCGCTGAAATGTTGTTTTCTCCTTGATTCTCATTGGTCCTCCACTCGGCTACCATGGTTATGTAGATCCACCCCGCCTGACACGCCTGTTCACCTTCCTGGACGTGACGCAGCGTGCTGTAACACAGACCGTACCTCGCTGTTGATGATTTCATCCACGATCTCCCATCCGTTCATCAGCAGGTCCTTCCTCAAGGTAGAAATGCTTCCAGTCGGCTGGAGCACAACTCTTCGAACCCCGTAGTCCTGTACTCTCCTCCGCTCACTGACCTACCTTGCACGCTCAGCCCAGCACGCAGGGAACGCACCTCTTACCTCTCCAGCATCGCCTTCAGCTCCAAACAGAATTTCTGAGATCACCTTCCCTCCTACCCCGGAGACTGTGACAGTGTCTACCTCCCCGCATGACAAGACCGCAAGCCCGTCCCCGAGCCGGAGCTCGAGCTGCTCTAGAGCCTCGTCGTTGATCCGCTCCAAACTTTGCCTTGCGTTGTCGAGAGGAAGGATGTTCTTGTCGGAGGCGATCACCTTCAATGCTTTCCCGCTCTTCATCAGGGCGATGGGAAGGTACCCATGGTCCGTGCCGACGTCCAGTACACAGGAGCCGTTGTTGACGAGAGAAGCGATAATCCCGAGACGGTTCCCAAGGATGGAGGCGAAGCTAGGGTCCATATCTCCTCCAGCTACATCCTCCCTTCTGTACCCCTTGGGGAGCCTCCAACTCATCTGAACCCTCACTGCAGCTTGCCTCCTGACGCCTCCCAAGGGAACTTGAGCGGGTTTTCTCCCGTAAGGGAAGCTGTTTACAATGGGCCCTGAAAATCCTCCGCATTCCAATATCACAGTTGACAGGGTGAGCATGAAGAACGATAGCCTAGCGGAGGTATCTGATCTCAACTCCATCCTGACGAGCTGTAGAGATCAGACTGTCTCAGATGTTCCTCCGAGGTTCGTCAAACCTTCGGGTGAGGGAGCAAAGGAAAGCCCGATGTAGGCAAGAAGAGAAGCAGAGAGTTTCTTGTCCTTCGCTGGGGGATGCTCCTGTCTTGCTGCTGTGCTGTTGTGTCGCTCCTGGCAGATTCTGTCCTCCACTACACCCTCCGCCCAGTCCGCATGGAGGCCGCAAAAAAAGAAGAGTCTTTTTTTCATTTACAACAGTTTTTCTTTCTCCACGGGCCGTTCTCGGCCCCGGCTGAGACCCGGCATGATCTGAGTCCGAGTCCGAGGTGCCAACTTCTCAGCTAGTCTCCAGCTGAAGGCGAGCTGGAGGTTTTCAATGTTACTCAACTTGTAGGCTGGATTTCATCAGCCCTTTACTGAGCGCGGGTATCATCACAGCAGTTCTAGTTGTTCAGGAGCAGACACTTTTACTATCATAACTTCATGGTTTCTTCACAAAGAAGTTCATAATGTTCTGGGAAGCATTGCTGCTCCCTCTCCCCCTCCCGCTCTCTTTCCTCCTACCTTTCCTTCCCGGACCATCGCGCCCTCCCCCGCACATGTTCAGCTCCAGCATCCTCTGCTCGCTCAAGCAGAGCTTGGTAGAGTCTCGTCCGTCGTCTCCTTCACCTTCTCTTCTCGCATCTTTCTCCTCCTCCTCCTCCTCCTCCTCGTTCTGCATGAGCCTTGCATGCTTCTTGACAGGGTTCTCTCCGTCCTGCTGCTCCTCTGCCTCCGCCGCCTTTCGCTTCAACTTGTCCTCCTCCTCTCCCCAACGCCCGTCTTCTCTTTCCTTGGCTTCGATCCTCCCGCCCCCCCCGAAGAAATCTTTCAGCTTCCTCTGCGTCTTGTGCGGCTGTGTCTCCCTCATGCTCTTCTGCGCATTCTTCCAAAATTCCTCCTCCTCCTCCTTCCTCCCGTCATCCCTTCCCTCCCCCCGCTCCTCCTTCTCCTCCCCTCCCCTCCTCCTGTCTTCCTTCTCCTCTCCCAGTTCAAGGATGACAGATACTCCGATGTGGTCGCTGTACTGAGGAGGCGTGTAGAGGATCCCTGAAGACGGAGCTCGGAACTGGCAGGTGTAGGTCTCCTCGGGGCCGTCCTGTATCCCTCCTCCTTCAAACGGAGCCGCTACCCACCTTCCTCCTTCTGTGCACGCCCATGCTGCTGCTTCAGCGCTGTACGGGTCCTGCGAAGACTGTGAGGGAAGACAAGGAGGAAGAGGAGAGGGTAAGGTGGGGAGTGGGGAGCTGAAGAGTTGTACGAGGAGATGATGGTAGAAGGCAGGGGGAAGGGGTTGAGCGAACAGCATAGGGTCGACCATGTGACTAGGCGAGTGCAACTCAATCCCACGACGAGCGGAGGAGGAGAAAAGCTTCTTGTCGACGAGGATATAGTCTATCCTCGCCCCCTCATTGCGATCTGCAACCCCATTTCACTTCTCGACCCCACAACCTCAAGTTGCTACATCGCTCGTTGGTGTACTGGTCCCAGCACGTGAAGCGGCAGCGTGCTTTCGAATGGAATTCTACGAACGAGTCCACCATCTCTGTTGACGTCATCAGAACCACCGGAGACACAGAAAACTCCCTTCACCGTCGTCGTCAAGCACTGAACGGATCCACTGCTTCACGATCGGGGCCGAACGAGACTTGACGTACTTTGAGTTGGCCAACTTGTGGAGCTGTTCCTCACTCCAACACACTGCCGCGACCTTCTCCATGAGCTCACTCAGCTCAGCCAGCCTCATATGCATGGGAGGATGGCAGATTATGAATTCTCCCGTCTCCTCCTCCTTCACCCCTCCAGCTTGCAGCGTATACGACGTCGGATACCCCAACGACTCCTCCTTCGAGATGGGCTTGCCCAGCTTCACCTTCCTCTCTCCATCCACAACGATGAAGAACCTCCACCTCCTCTCCTTCCTCTGCGTCGCCGGGATGAAAATCTCCACCTCCTCCGCCACCTTTGTCTTCAGCGCGTCCTCGATCTTGCCCAAGTTATCCTTGACCTGCTGCACCATCTCCCTCACTCCCTCCTCCTCCTCCTCCTCGTTCCCATCCTCCCCAGCTCGCAAGCAGGCCTCCAAGTCAACATTCCTGGACATGGGGTATTGATCGCAGGCTCTATAGACCAGGTTCAGATCGCCGCAGAGGATGACATCGAGACCCAACGAGCGCATCCTCCTCATTGACGTCCTCAGCGCAGCAAGGAACTTGATCTTCAACGAAAGCTGCACGTTCCACACGCCATTGTTCGGCACGTACACGTTGAAGATCGCCATGTTCCTGCAGACAGTCATGATGCATCGGCCCTCCTCGTCTAGCTCCCCCCCCTTGTCTAACACGTTCCGGTCCGCATGCGAGCACAGCCCTTTCTTGCAGAAGGTTGCTACTCCCGAGAAGCTCGACCTCGCTCCTGTCTTGGTCCTCTTCCTGCATGGAGCCCAGAAGGTCTCGTAGTCCACCAGCTCCGCAGCATGAGCGTGAGGGTTCTCGGCAAGCGCTCGATCGCTCGTCTTCACTTCTTGCAAGCACAGTATGTCAAACTTGTGCTGCCGCATCCACGACTCGACGGATCCGTGATGCTGTTGGATCTTTGCTGCTGTTGACAGCCAGCCAGCAACGTTCCAGGAGGCCAGGTACAAGCTCATGGCACTCATGGCAGAGGGATGTCACCAAGACTTCAGAAGCGGTAGCGGCTGTTCTTGTACGGGATCGTTGTACTGACCTGATGTGCGTGCTGCCCTCCTTGTTCTTCTAACTCTCCTCCTCCTCTCCTCTCCTCCTCTCTTTCTCTCTCCTCCCCCCTCCCTCCTGTCTTCCTCCATTCCTGAACATCGTTTCTTCCACGCTTGTATGCACAGCTTTCTTATATTTTTAAAACATGGTATGTACAAACTTAATAAAAATATAACTCAATTACTACAATCCATAGATTTATAAAATAATTTGAATTTGAATGAAGATTCTCTCGTAGCTTTGCAATACTCTTGTAGAAATAGAGTTTTTAAACTGTACCATTTAATCATTTATAAAATTCAAAATTATTGAATTGTATGCGATCAAATGATCGGAGCATGACGATATGAATGAGGAGCAGGAGCAGGAGCAGGAGCAGGAGCAGGAGCAGGAGCAGGAGCAGGAGCAGGGGCAGGAGCAAGAGCAAGAGCAGGGGCAGGGGCAGGGGCAGGAGCAGGAGCAGGAGCAGGAGCAGGGGCAGGAGCAGGAGCAGGAGCAGGAGCAGGAGCAGGAGCAGCAGGAGCAGGAGAAGGAGCAGGAGCAGGAGCAGGAGCAGGAGCAGGAGCAGGAGCAGGAGCAGGAGCAGGAGTAGGAGCATGAGCAGGAGTATGTGGAGAAGGAGAAGGATATGGAGATGGAAAAGACTGAGGTAAAGGAGGAGTGTCAGGCCATGGCAATCAGATCGTCAAGCATAATTTAGCCTAGATCATACAAAGGGAGGGACGAGGATGAGAGAGAGGATGTGGGACCCGGGTGGCAAGAGAATGTTGGAGATCGTGATGTAGGCAGCGGCATTCGCAGGTATTGTTAACTCATTCATTCTTTCTTAGAACAAGTGTCCTGACGAGTCCAAGGATGTCTTCGCCTCACCAGGTGAAATGTTCTATTGGTTGTCGTCCGGTGTGCAGTCACTGACGGTTGTTGGAAGGCTGAGGAAGGTCAGTGGCGGTAACGCCATCGAGCTCTTGATCGCACTACCTCCTGCTGTTCCTTGATTTCGAGATCGCTTCATTGTTACTCTTGTTTCTTACTTTAGGTTCCTTCGATGATGAAGATGACCCGCTCATGGAAGGTCTGAACATGTCACCTCTCATCCCTCCCCCCTTCCCGCTCCTCCTCCTCCTCCTCCTCCTCCTCCTCCTCCAACACCCCGCCACTCTACCTCCTCTTCCTGTTCCTCTTCCTTCTCTTCTTCCGCCTTAGCATTGTGATCAATGATTCAGGAGATCCGTTTGTGCACATCATCGATCGAGTGGATGCCATTAAGAACAGCTTCTCAACGTTCTACCAAACATGGAAGGTTGGAGTGATGAGAAAAAAACCATCGTGTGTTTGCTGATTGTGTGAGAAAGGACGAGGGTTTTCCAGACGAAGTCACCAAAGAAGATATCAAAGATCAGCTTGCAGACAAGACAAATGGTGAGATAGGACTTTTCAGAAAAGTTTGCTTGCATTTGCACAAATCTTTGCTGTCTTTTTGTTGTCCTGTTCACACTGGTACATGTTTCCTTCGGAGTCTTTTTGTTGTTCGGTTATATTGCTGGCTGAATGGTTTTGTTGGTAAAGGACAACTGGAAAAGATCGAGAAGATGACGGACAAGTGAATACAGTTGTGTTTTCTTGCTTCTTCATCGTAAACTTGCTGCAGGTTTGCAAATATTCTCGGCCGCCTGTCAGACTTGGTGAAGCAGATGGAGCTGGACGAAGACGCATGTTACGATGTAATTTGTTGAGGTTTGAGGTTGGTGTTGGTGGTCTGATGATGTTGACAAACAGATGATTGATGAGATCGATGAGGTGAGGAGAGATGGGCATGAGCTTGTCGGGAGTTTGATCTCCTGATTGATGTGATCTCCTGATTGATGTGATCTCGTTGCAGAACGAGGAGGAAGAGGAAGAGGAGGAGGAGGAGGACGATGATGCTCCATGGTACGGAACTCTTGTGCTTTCAACTTCTTCATCCACTCCTCCTCCTCATCATCATCCCTATCATCATCATCATCATCATCATCATCATCATCATCATCATCCCTATCATCAGCATAATCATCCTCTTACACGAATTTCGTGGCAGCGAAACCGTCCTGGAGTTTGAGGACTTGATCACGAACTATCTTGTGAGCTTGCACTTGTTTTTACCTAGAAAGTTAGGGTTGTTCATGGCTCCGACGTTTCCTTCTCTGTTTGTTCCCGACGCTGCACCACTCATCCCTTCTCTTCTTGCAAACAGGTCCCGTTTCTCGATGCTGTCAACTCCATAGGTACGGACGTGCACGAATGCACAAATTTGTTATCTTCACACGTTCTTTGTTAGGTGGAGAGGTACAACAACAGGGGAGATACGTAGCGCAAGCTTTCGGAGCTCAACGAGAGATGCTTGTAAGTCAACAACAACAACAACAACAACAACAACAACAACAACAACAACAACAACAACAACAACAACAACAACAACATTAGCAGCAGCAGCAGCAGCAGCAGCAGCAGCAGCAGCAGCAGCAGCAGCAGCAGCAGCAGCAGCAGCAGCAGCAACTAGATGGCGTTTGATGATCTTGTGAACACAGATGCAAGTCTCCAGAGGACAGCAGCCGGAAATGGAGGATGTAAAGATGAACGTCAATCATGATATGATACATCGTGACATCTCCTCGCTCGCAGGAATTCAAACAGCTTCTTCACGGGACCAATGAAGCCCTCGGGGTATGACGTGACCGTCGAGTTCACAGCTCGTCCTCTGACTCTTATTCCTTGAAAGTTTATCGACCACATCAACGACGAGGCTGTCAACTATCGCAAAGTTCGCTCCTCCTCCTCCTCCTCCTCCTTCTCCTCCTCCTCCTCCTCCTCTTCCTCCTCCTCCTCCTCCTCCTCCTCCTCCTCCTCCTCCTCCTCCTCCTCCTCCTCCTCCTCCCTCTCTTCCGAATTCTTCTTACTACTGTCTCGCGTCAGAGATCCGAGAGCTTCTTGTCGATACCTCAGAATTCCTCATGGAGATCGAAGAGAAATGCGACATGGAGGTGAGAGGAAACGATCTGCTGCTGCTGCTCCTCACTTCTCTTCTTCTCTATCAGTCTGACAACCGACACCACCTAACTCTTGTGTCGTCCGGCATGCCCTGTCTCGGTGAGAACATGTGCTAACAATCAAGTTGTTTGATGACGACGACGAGAACGATGATGATGTTGACGATGATTATGATATGTTGAACATGTTTGATGATGTGAAGTTGTTCAAAGGGGTTCGAGAGAGCAACTCGTTCATTTTGTTCATCCGAAACTGCTCAATACCCGCATATCTGTCAGGGCAATCATCGCCATGAACGCTTTCCGCTGTCAGCATCTTGTTGCGTGTTTTTTGTCTCCCTCTCATCTTGTTCTATTTCTTTTCACTTCTTTTCCTTCTCTCCTCTCCTTCCCTCATCGATTTTCTTTCCTTCGTTCCCTCTCCCCTTCTCTATCGTCACTCTTCCCCTCCCCTCCCCTCCCCTCCCCTCCCCTCCCCTCCCCTCCCCTCTCCTCTCCTCTCCTCTCCTCTCTCACTTTCACTTCAGCATGGGTCTCTGTCCCAATGAACCCTTCGGGCTACATCTCTGACATGATTAACTCAATTCCTGTCTACGGTGACAAGGTGATTTCCTGCTCTCATTTCCATTTTTCTCATCCTCTCGTCAGATTGTCAAGTCCACGTCCATGGGCGAAAATGCAGAAGATCATGTTGAGTTTGTAAAGACGTTCCGGTGGGACCAGACATGGTGATTGTTGACGATGCTGATATCTGCCAACAGCGACATGTTGCGCGGGCTGAATGATTATGTGAAGACGTATCACAACAAGGTGAGGAGGGAGAAATGCAATCTGAGCAAGTTGTTCAGATCATGTTTTCTTGTTGTCATGACATGTGCTGGCAGGGGTTGTCATGGAACATGGATGGGGAGGATTTTGCGACAGTTCGTGACATTGTAAGAGACAGATGCCAGCAACTTGGAATGATCTGTAATGATTGACCATTTTAACAGATTGACAACGTGAATGCTTCGAACCTGTCAGGCTACAGCAACACAAGTCCTTGAGATATCAGATCATGAAAAAAATTGAAATGAACAGAAGTGGAAGGGGAAAAGGGAAGAGGTAGAGGAGGAGGCGAAAAGACAAAAACAAATGTCGCTGTCGCAGTGAACAACAACGAAAACATTTCAAGCATCAAGATATTTGTACATCTTGTTAGTCCCGATCGAATCTGTGAATGACTCGTTGAGAAACCTGGAAAAGAAAATCATCAACATCTTTTCTCATATCTCCATCTTTATCATCATCATCATCACTATCATCATCATCACCACCACCACCATAACTTCAGATGTTCCTCACTTTGTAAGGCATGGGATGTTCTCCAGCATCCATGGGAAACCATGATTGATGTGATTGTGGTCGAGATCAAGAACTTGAAGCTTTGTGTTGCTCAATTCCCGTGCCATCAACCTCACTCCTTCGTCTCCTCTGATGCCCAAAGTTAGTTTCTTGTTACAAAAAGTGACGTTCGACATCATCGTTATCATCATCATCATCATCATCATCATCATCATCACGTCCATCATGATTATCATCATCGTCATCATCGTCTGCAACCCTTACATGATGTTATATCCGAGATAAAGTTCCTTCATCGCCGGATGTTTGTTCACTGATCTTGCTATCATCTCTGCTCCCCTTGGCCCGATGTTGTTAAGACTTAGATGTAACTCCTGAAATAACAACATCGTCATCTTCCCAATCCTTCAAAGATGTCTTCGTCACTGTCACCACCACTACCACCACCACAACCACCACCACTACCATCGTCATTGTCATCATCATCATCATCATCATCATCATCATCACCACCACCACCACCACCACCACCACCACCACCATCATCATCATCATCATCATCATCATCATCATCGTCATCAGACCTCCAACACGGTGTTGGTCTGAAGAGCAACAGCGATGTTGTATGCTCCATCATCTCCAAAGAACAACCGACGAGCGACGATAACTGAGAAATGATTCCCCACTATCGCTTCAATCACTTCCCGCAGTGACGAGCAGACTATCTGTGAGGCGACAAGCTTCAGGTCCGAGCAGGGGGAGGAGGAAGGAGAGAGATGTAGGGGGAAGGACTGGGGAAGACGAGCAGGAGGAGGTGGTGGTGGAGGAGCAGGAGCAGGAGGAGCAGGATCAGGAGGAGGAGGCGGAGGAGGAGGTGGTGGTGGAGTTGGAGCAGCAGCAGGAGCACGAGGAGGAGGAGGTGGTGGTGGTGGTGGAGCAGCAGCAGGAGGAGGAGGTGGTGGTGGTGGTGGTGGTGGTGGTGGTGGAGGAGGAGCAGCAGGATCAAGAGGAGGAGCAGGAGGAGGAGCAGGAGCAGGAGGAGGAGCACCTCTCTCCGCTCCTTCTCGAACGTCTCCCCGATCTTGGCGTAATCGAATTCTCCCCAGACTGATCCTGTAGCCGCATACAAGTAGGAGCGAGACGTTGAGACCGACAGCGAGCCCTCTGTGAGAAAAGTAAGACGATGATGAGCAGGGGAGCAGGAGCAGGAGCAGGAGCAGGAGCAGGAGCAGGAGCAGGAGCAGGAGCAGGAGCAGGAGCAGGAGCAGGAGCAGGAGCAGGAGCAGGAGCAGGAGCAGGAGCAGGAGCAGGAGCAGGAGCAGGAGCAGGAGCAGGAGCAGGAGCAGAAGGAGCAGGAGCAGGAGCAGGAGCAGGAGCAGGAGCAGGAGCAGGAGCAGGAGCAGAAGGAGCAGGAGCAGGAGCAGGAGCAGGAGGAGCAGGAGCAGGAGCAGGAGCAGGAGCAGGAGCAGGAGCAGGAGCAGGAGCAGGAGCAGGAGCAGGAGCAGGAGCAGGAAAGCAGGAGCAGGAGCAGGAGCAGGAGCAGGAGCAGGAGCAGGAGCAGGAGCAGGAGCAGGAGCAGAAGGAGCAGGAGCAGGAGCAGGAGCAGGAGCAGGAGCAGGAGCAGGAGCAGGAGCAGGAGCAGGAGCAGGAGCAGGGTCAGGAGCAGGAGCAGGAGCAGGAGCAGGGTCAGGGTCAGGGTCAGGGTCAGGGTCAGGGTCAGGAGCAAGAGCAGGAGCAGGAGGAGCAAGAGCAGGAGGAGCAGGAGGATTGAGGGTAATGGCAGAGAACGCTATGGTAGGACCTGGTATGAACGAGTTGTTCCAGCTTATCACCCTTTGCGGGTTTGCCACGCTCATCTGATAGAATCTCATCAGTACCTCCCTCCTATCATCATCAACAACTCAATCAAATTCCACCCATCCTCGCTCCTCCACCCGCCTGCTGCTGCTGCTGCTCCTTGCTTCCCTTCCTCCGTCCCCTCCCTCCGTCCCTCCTCCTCCTCCTCCTCCTCCCATACGACTCACCATTTCATGGTCGCCGTTGGTTGTTGGACTTCCACGGGACGAGAACAGAGTGGCGGGAACAGTCTGACAAGAGACGTGAGGATGGAGGCGGAGGAAAGAATCCATGGAGAAGAAGTGGGGAAGTGAGGGGGAGCAGGAGCAGTAGAAGGAGGAGAGGAGGAGGAGAGGAGGAGTGGAAGAGGAGGAGGAGGAGAGGGGAAAAGGAGCATTTCAATCTTTCACCTCCTTGCCCGAGAGCGCTCGTTCTGTCTCAAGTCGGAATCTCGAAGCGCTCGGCACGTTTGACAAGTGGACAAACTTGAGGGAGGAGGTGTCATGAGCGTGACTGAGGTCAAACGGATCGCCCTTGTTCAACAGCAGATCCTCTCCGCCATTCATGGAGCATCGCCGGCTGCTCTTGTCTCGTGTTACCATCCTCCTCGATACCAACGAGAGGTCCAACATCACTCCCTTCAACGACAACATGCATGCGATGATTTGATCGCGCGTCCAGAACTCAGCTGGGGACCGGAGGGCCATGGAGAGTTGCTGCATCTGATATTCTTTCATGGAGCTGTAGAGAATCTGTTGGAAGCCTTCATAACTCAACAGGTCGTCCTCTTCACACAGATCCTCCTTCACCACGATATCCTCCCATCCCTGGTCCGTCAGGAACAGAGGAGGCAGGCAGGCCAGGCTCAGTAGACCTCCCTGAACTTCCTGCTTGCTCAACTTGACATTCTCGCATACGAAATCCTCCTTTTGTGTCTCTTGCTCTAGCCCGTTGGCCACAACATGGAACCACAGAGCAGAAATCAGCCTATCGAGATCTTGCTGATCGTTGCAATGAATCAGCCGATTGACGATGGGGAGGAACGGCCGGTATTTTGACAGGACGTCCGAGCTCCCTGCGAAGGAAGAATGCGATATCGGAGTTTCTGCAGCCTTGCTGAACTCTTCCAACAGCACACAGATGACTACTTGTACCAACACCATGGAGACGATGAGTTGGAAGCTGACAAAGAAGATGGTGACTGCAACGGGGTTGTGAACGAGGACGAACAACTGCCGGGCAATGTCTGACCAGGCGTCGCCTGTCATGACCTGAAACATTGTGAACATCGCCTGCATGTCAAGTCAGCGAAGATAGAACAGCCTTGGAAGTAGAGCAGCGATCAAACACTCTCGAGGATGATGGATAGGATCATCGGAGCGTGGAATAGGAAGATGGAGAGAGCGAGGAGGAGGGTGAGGAGGAGCAGGGGGAGGGGGAGGGAGGGGGAGGGGGAGGGCGGTGAGGAAATTGAGGAGGAGGACACGAGAGGAGCAAAGGAGAAAATTACCATTCCGAAGTTGTCAAAGTAGTCAGGCATGACAGTACCGTAGAAACGAACCCCGAGGATGGAGTAGATTGAAGTCACCAACAGCACCAACACAAACGCGTTGGTCATTGCTGGAATCGCAGCATTCAAGGACACGATGATCTGCCTGATAGATCGCAACCGCCTGAACAGGCGAAAGACTCTGAAGGCTCTCAGCAGACGAAGAGTGTTCACCCCGTTGGAGGACGAGCCATACTCTGCGATCAGGCTGACGAGCACGACGGTTGTATCGAACCAGTTCCACCCGTCGGACACAAACTCCCAGAACCAGTTGGACAGGATGTTGATCGTGAGCTCAAACGCAAAGATGAGGGAGATCGCGCTGTCGAACTGATCGAACGTCCTGAAAAGGGCAGTTCCGTCTTCAGGCTGCACTTGCGTCCTGATCACATCGATGAAGAAGTTCACAAAGATCAGAGCAGCCCACAGGTACTGAGAAGCGTTGGACATGTAGATCCACTTGAGCTTGAGGCGCAAGCGGGAGATAGTGCTCGCCCGTTTCCTTTCCTGCAGGATCTCGCTAGAGGCCAGCAACAGCCAGCTGATGGAAAACTGCCAGTCGTCAGCTTCTTTTGCTGTCTGAGCTTTGAAACGAATCAACTGACCCTGCAAGCACGCCTTCAAAACAACAAGATCGAATCGTAGGACAGGCAACCTGGAACAGTCCGACTTTCGTCGTCTCGATCACGAACTCGTTGTCTTGCAGTTCCTCCATGATTCCCTCGTGCCTTGCTCGTTGTAAAAGGCCTGAACCTGATCTGTCGTAGTTGATTCCATTCTTTCCAAAAACCAACTCAATGTCCTGAAATCAAGTCAGCCATCCCAGAGCACCCTGCGGGATCGTTTGCAACATTACATGAATACTGAGCGTTCTTGTAGCTTCCGCTGATTCGTTGGTGGAAAACTTCATCCCATCCTCGCACAAGCTCGACCAGAAGTTCACATATGTGCTCCTCGCCCTTGTTCCCAGGTTCACTAGCAGGTTCCCGCACAGAAGGTCCACATCGCGTTCAAGGAGGTGGGGAGGGATGAAAAACTCCCTGTTGTCGGGACCGAAGCTCACGATGTCGTGATCTGAGTACGTCGGTCTGAGGGTTCGGTTGAGACCCGTCTTGAAGCTCTTGGTCCTCTGCAAAGACGTTCGGTCCGGGATCTTGCCCTTGAAGCTAGACCCCATGGTCCTGGAGAAGAGGGGGTGTATACCGTCAATGTCTGCCAGCTTCGGGTGAGCCGATTCCGTCTGAGTGACATCGGCAACATCAGGGACATCGGGGACGCCAGTGATGGCTGGCTCTCCGAAGTAGAGCTCCTTGCTATCATCGAGGCCATTCGCGTTCGGATTCTCCTCCATCGTAATGCTGACCGCCCTTCTTGACTCCATCCAGTGACGATTAACGATTCTTTCGCTGATAGATCAAGGAAGCATCTGGATGATAGAATATTTCAGTACATATCTCTGCTATTACAAGTATCTGCTGTTGAATACCTTCCCCACGCTGCTCAGTAGCATCTCACGAGCTTTCTTCTCTGGCTTGCTCTACACTGTTTCCCAACCTCAATCTCGGAGGAAATCTCGCTTTATCAACCTCCTTCAGCAGTTTTCATCTCTGAATTCAAATCGGTATCAGGATTCTCTTTGTGTTTAGTCTTTCATTTGGATCCTATTTCCTCATGTTTTGAATCAGGACATGTTTCTTGCCAAAGTTTGCTTTGAGTAGATGGTCGTTTACCTACCTGTCTCGCCATGTAATGATTCATTCAGATCCTCATCTTGTTCTCGCATCTTCCTACCACTCCTCTGTCTCCTTCCATTCTCTTCTTCCCTTCGACTTCTTCTCCTCCTTCTAAACCTCGCACATCCAACTCTCCCCGACATCGTCGGCCTGACAATCCATTTTCTGAACTAGACATTCTCGTAGGGGGTTGCTCGAAATTCCAAATTTCAAATAATTGTATCATAAGTTGAAAATAAATCAAATAAGTTGTCAAAAGTTTTTCCACAATCAGGATTTGTTGACCAAACACCGATAATTTAAGGGTCAATAAGAATTATCCTCAGACCATCGTGGTAACATGCCGTGAGCAACCGGTGATACCCCACCCCACTTTATTGATTTTGTACCCGTACTTTTATCTACAAAGCTCAATTTGAGACAGGGGTAGTCGATATCTGCTACCCGTACATACAAATTTCGAAGGGGGTGGGGTGCATCTACACTGACCCAGACCGAACAGGATTCGTCATTCGTTCCCAGTCTGTCACCACCCCCAACCTCACTACCCCCATATCCTGGTAAATTGTTACACCACCCCTATGGCGTGGATAGTACAGTTTTTGTACCACTACCCTACCTACGGGACCGTTCCTGTACGAGGCAACCCTACCCAGTTCAGAACCGCTTGTAATGACCCCCCTACCCTCTCAGATACCTGAGATTAACCCACATTTTTACTAGACCTACCCCCACGAATGATCAGGACCCCTCAAAATGACCTCGTCCTTGAAAAAAAAAAAGTACCACCTCCCCTGTCAAAAGAATGAACCTATCATTGTACCGGTACATTGCCTTCAGAAAGTACCTAGGGGTATATGACCCCACCCCCTTATTGTATCGTTTTGTATGACACCACCCCCTCACTATGTCCTTTTGCCATCACCAGGTCCGAATTGAGAATAGGTCAGTCGTTACAAACGTTACAGTTTAATATTTAAATTTTAATTTATAAACGACTTATGAAACGAGGGTAACGTGTACGTAACTGACTTCGCTGGAACCAATGGCGGATCACCAGGAGATTCAAGTGGACGATGTGAGGAGAGGAGGAGGAGAGGAGGAGGAGAGGAGGAGGAGAGGAGGAGGAGAGGAGGAGGAGAGGAGGAGAGGAGGAGAGGAGGAGGAGAGGAGGAGGAGAGGAGGAGGAGGATGAAGGAGATCAATTCTGGATGACAGATGAAAATTTAGTTGATGGTTCAATGAACAGATTGAGACAAGGAACAGAGTGGCAAGAGGGAGAAAGATGATGATGCAGATAGAAAATGTGATGTAAGAGGTATATTTTTAGATAGTAGAAGCCAAATTGATGTGGGTGGAAGATGTTTGAGGCAGAAAGGAAGGTGACTGGGTGGGTGGGTGGGTGGGGTTCGAGGTACGTCAGTGAGGCAAAGAAATAATCTTGGAGCACGGGAGGTTCACAAGGGCGGCGCTGGAGAGAAATATCGCCATGACAGAGGGGACGGGACGGAAAGTGAAACTAATTTGAAGCAAGTTGCTCCATTATCCAGTATGATCGTCAAAGACTCTAATGATATTCCTTTCAGGAAGGGAGTCAACAGCAAAGGAGCACGGGGGGCGGGGGAGGGGATCAGCGTATGACGATGAACGCGCCGATGAGGAGAATGAGATCGAGGTGCGAGTTGTGAAAGTTTGACTACCCCTTGAGATGCCTGTTTCAGCGAGATTGTGATGGATGGAGCGCCTAAAGACTCTGATCGGACTGTTTTCGTCGGAAACCTTTCTCAAGACGTCGATGAAGTGATCTTGTATGAGCTATTCACACAGGTGGTCGACGATTTGCTGCTTCATACTTTCTTTGAACAAAGATGGTGGTCAGGTTGGACCTGTTGAGAGGATCACACTTCCCTTGCACGATGATCCAGGCAGTGACAGAGTATCTCACAAAGGATACGCGTTCGTACAGTTTGCAGACGGTTTTAGCGTTGATCGCTTCTCGATGTTTGTTGTGACGGATTGTCTAGGGAAAGTGAATTCTGCAAGGCATTCGGTGGTGTACGCGATGAAGGTTTACTCTAACAACTTGTGGAAGAGTGTTGTGATAGTCGTAACTCGTGATGTAGGTGATGAACGACATCTATCTGTACGGGCAGCGGATTAGGGTGAGTTCAACATTTCTTGCTTGATGTTTCATGTCCGTGTCTCTTCTATCCTGCCATCGTTCGCTGACTTTCTGTCTTCTCATTGTTCTTTCTCTTGTTCTCTCTGTTTCATCATTCACCTTTGACTGTTCCATCTCAGGTATCGAGAAGCAACAGCCGTGCCGGCACACAGGATGAAAGTTTGTTGGAACCTCCTCTCCTTCCGGGAGATGCTGCGATGGTCGAGATATGATCAGCGTCATGATGCACTGACACCATTCGCGCCTTAAACCTTGTTGTTGTCATCATGTTATAGTATTGTTAAAAGAGGTGGGGAAAGACTTGACAGTGATCGGACTGCGATAGTTTCACGGTCTCGACCACCATGGCATTGAAGGCATCAGACTGCAATAGATTTCATACCGCATCATTGTGAATCACAATCACATTAGAATTCTTTGCTGTCATTATCTCTTTGTAACATACTTGAAGATTTTGCATTAGATGAAATTTCGCTGTTGCTCATCCGATGATCGTCTTGCACAACAACTTGCCACTGCAAACATTGACGGATCACATGGATCTTATATAGAGCCCAGACTTGCCGAGCCTAAAAACTGAGAAATTGTAACTGTTCTGGAACGGTACGGTTCTCCATTCCGACTATTCGATGGAATGACCAGAGGAAGCATCCTCGGGGCGGACAATACCCCTGGTTATCTGTATATAAGCATGGGGTCTTGTCTTCCTCTCTCTCTGTCTCTTTCCCTCTCTTCTCCCTCTTTCTTTCTCCTCATTCTCTCTCTCTTCTCTTTTCCTTTCTCACTATCTCTTAATCTTTTTCTTTCTCCTATCCTTTCAGTCTCTGTTGTCTTCCTATCCTTGCTCTACTTATAAATACTCTTATCTCTGAAGTCAATTACCTATCTGCTCTAACTTCGCTACTGCATACAATCCATCGGTTATGAGCCTCGTTCTCTACTACGCCAGGGCTGACTTCTTCCTCCAATACAGCCACACTCAGTCTTGGAATTCTTGTGCTTTGGTTCGCTTACTGCACTTTTCGACTCATCTGTTCAATCTACACAACATTGTCTGACTGGAAAGGCCGAATCTACAACAATGTATGCTTTCCATCACTACTGAACCTGTTCAACAGAAACAAACTGGCAGACCTGACAACCGACGCACAGGCTAATCTTCAATACGCCAGCACACCGCATGTGCATCGATATGTCACCAAATCCCCCAATGTTGCTCCTAACATTCTGTTTGCACATGATACCCCAACTACTTCTGGGGCAAGCACAAGTTACGATTATTTCCTCGCCATCCGGCATAGAGTTTCCACCGCTTCCACGTAGCACTGACTATGACGCACTGGACACTTGGAAACAAGGGGTAGAGAGAATCTTCCGACGTCATTCCATCCCAATGTCCGACTGGCTTCCCATCCTAGCGGACGATCCTCGCACTGATGAACGACTGGTAAGTATCATTCGCAATGTGCAATTTGACGTAGGACCTGGAGCTTCACCCTCACAGTACTGGGAAGGTGTTATCTCTAGAGTTTTTCGTTGCACTAAATGCCCACGACCATGGGACCGGTTCTCAACACTACAGAAGAACCTTATTACGCTGAAACAGAGCAGCTCTCTTGAGCTATACCTACTTGAGTTTGAGAATCGCTGGCGAGAACTCGCAGTATGGGCATGTGACTTTAATCTAGAAGATGGACTACCAACCCAGGATAACTTGATTACTCTACTCATTCAAGGACTGGACTCGAGATGTAGTTCAGCAGTGGCTGGCAGAACTGATGAGATTGTGAATGCCGAGACACTCACTGATGCAATGGATTTGATTGCAGACATCTGTTCTGAATACAAGGTGGCTGGACTTGATGAGGAATCGTTCGCTCGGCTGAATAATCGTACCAAACGGACATACGGTCAGGGACTCAAGAGTGACAACATGCTTCGGGTCGAGACACCAACCGTAAGAACACCCAGCTGCATTCCCCAATCTCTCGCTTGTTACTCACGGCTCACAAAACTGTCTGCAGATACTCGAAGACTAAGTCACCACTCGCCTCAAGGGTCATGGAAGTCGAGGATCGGAATACTTCCTCTGCCACCGAACTACAGGAAACTACGTTCGCAGTATTTTCCCCTACAAAATTTATCGTACCATCGTGCTAATAATACAACGACCCTAGCGTCTTCACGACTCGGATTGAAATCATGGCGAATTACTCAGAGGAACTCGATTGCCCTGAAAACTACTGTCAGCCCCCTGACTCGCTCCAACCACTGGGACTGGGCAACTTCCAGCGGAGACTGTGATGAACCTGGCAGAACACTATGTCAGTCCACCCAGTTCTTCAGATGAAACCCCTGAGCAACCAGGAATTCAAATTGTGTTGGATACGGGAGCCTCCGATCATTTCTTCAACTCTGACATTCTTAATTTCATCACTGAACTTAATTCTGAACCTCTGGAGTTGCAAGTGAATACCATTCTTGGCAGTACACAAAACCAGACTGTGCTCCCAACTCGTAGACAGAGAGCTGACATATTCTCTGTCACAGCAAGGCTTCCTTTTCTGCCTGAGTCAGATCTATCAGGATTTTTCTCGCCAGACTTCATGGTGAATCTACTTTCAGCCGCCCGACTAGTGGAAAGTGGTTACTTTGTTATTCTCTGTAAAAACCATTCGGTCGTGTGCTGTCCTATAGAAAGTACCGGATCAGATGGCTCTATCCTGGTAATTCCTCTTCTCCGTTCTGGCAATACCTGGATCTTCAACTCTAGTCACCAGACAAGGTACTTAATTCGTACATCCTTACTGAACAAATTCTTGCTGTGGCTGTTGAATCCACATACCTCAGAAGTGCCAGACATCGCAGAGGCAGCCTATGTGGACTCAAATAAGAATAAGAATGTGACAGATCAATTGTATCCTCCATTTGCACAGTTCTGCAGCAGCACGCCTACGCTCAACAGAGAATACAAGGAAACTGAAAGATCTGCGACCAGCTCAGCTCCTGAGGGATTGCCTACTGCTTCCCCTGCCGTACCGATTGGCAACACTGACACAGCTAGTAACCATCACAGTACTGAACAATCTCTGTCTCAAAAGGCACAGTTTCTCCAGAAGTTACATCTTAAACTGGGACATGCGAACATGGTTGCCCTCAACAAACTACACTACAGCACGGCTGAAGTTCCGGAGGTACCGCGGAAGTATCTCTGCCTGGATGAAAAATGCCTGTGCTGCCTTAGAATGAAGAGCAAACAGATCCTGGCAAGTAAGCACAACGGTGAAATAACCAAATTGTGTGCGACACAGAGAAACTTTCAACCACTAGAGAAGTTACACGCTGATCTAGCAGGTCCACTGAACATTCGGACTCACAAAGGAGCAAGGCATTTTCTCGTAATCACTGACCAGGCGACACGCTTCCGATGGGTTCTACTAGTTCCCAAAAAGGATGATGTACCTGAACTCCTTCAAAGCTTCTTTCGAGACCTGCTTGCAGAATTTGGCACTAACGTAAAAATACTGATCCTACAAACCGACTGTGGCAGCGAATTTAAGAATCAGAAACTCAACACCATTCTGCAAAATGCTGGAATCAGACCTGAATACTCTTGTCCTTACACTCCAAGTCAGAATGGTATTGCAGAATCTTCGGTCAAGAGAATCAAAGAGATCACTCGAGCATTCATGGACACATCCAATTTACCCCAGAGCCTCTGGGGGTTTGCAGCGGTACACGCTGCACGTGTTGCAAATCTCATTCCTCATCGGTTACTAAACTATCAGACTCCGTTTCAATTACTGTACGGATATTACCCATCACTCAACAAGCTTCCGGTGTTCGGATGCTATGCTTGTGTTCACAGGAAAAATAACAAAGGTTCACTGGTTGGAAGCACTGTTGAAGGAATCTATCTCGGAGATGCTGATCCACTGTTTAATACAAAGGGTTATCTCGTGTATGGACCAAAGTCAAAACGATTCTTCATCTCCACGTCTGTGGCGTTTGATGAAAGCTTATTCCCTTGCAGGCCAAAGAGCTCACGAAGGTTGACAGATCTCAAGGACATAAGTACACTACTTACCGACAATGAACTTGAGTACCCTGACTACTCCAGCTCTGATCTATCAGAACACCACCAAGTCATGAGCTGTGAGCAACAATCTGGCAGTACTGATTGCTGTACAGATCTGATGAATCACGAATCTCCGAAATCTGTTCCCGGCAATGTGCATAAAGCAAAAGATACAGAACCACTGATCAAACAACGACATAGTTTGAAAACTCTGAGCAGAAAACAACCAGTGGTCAATGCACTTGTCAGAAATAAGGTTCAACTCGAATTACCATCATACTTCTATCCGGATGAGACACCTGGAACATGGACAGTCATGAGCCACAGAAGGGAACAAAGGAATAAGCAGACCTACCTTCTCACCAAAGTAGTGGACTGTCCTGTACCAGATGACATTGGAAAGATAATTCCACTGAAAACTGACAATTCTGAGTTCTCCTTACAGAAAGTGTTGGACCTTCAATTTAACTTTCCTCAGTATCTAGATGACATACTCTCTGTACAGCAGGGGCGTACAAGTCCAGAAGAATCAGTGAACCCCACATCTACTGCCTACTTCACCTCATCAACTCTCACTTACTGGCAGCGGATCAAGGAACCCAAAAGCATAAAGGAAGCATACGAAAGCGAACATAGAGACAAATGGATGAAAGCACTCCAAGATGAAATGACTAGCCTTGAACAAAAATTGGTGTATACTACTGAGTCACAGGTTCCTCCCGGAACAAAAACTATCCCTTGCAAACCAGTTTTCAAGGTAAAAACAAATTCAGATGGAACCCTAGACAAATTCAAGGCTCGTATAGTAGCGTTGGGATATCGTCAAGTGAAGGGTATCGACTATGAAGAGACATTTGCACCATTTGTAGACCTGAGCACTATTCGATTGCTATTTGCATTGGCCGTAGAATACACCTATCACATTCACCATGTCGACGTAAAAACTGCCTTCCTAAATGCAAACATAGACAAGGAAATTTATACCAGACCTCCCAAGGACTTATTGAAGTACTTACGTGCATGGCTCACAGGAAGTGTCCCAATAGACCTACCAGAGGACGACAGAGTATTCTGGAAACTGCAGCGAGCACTATATGGTACCAAACAAGCCCCTAACTTGTGGAGTGTAACCTTACGAAATTACTTGTTACAATTAGGATTTCGTGACGTCGGATTTGAAAAATCTGTATACATTCGCAGAAAACCAGATGGGGGTGTTCTAATCGTACTTGTCTGGGTGGATGATGTGTTACTGTTTGGAGACACCTTGGAACCTATCAATGAATTCAAGACAGAATTGAATAACAGGTTCCCAATCACCGATAAGGGAGAAGTGGAATACTTCTTAGGGGTAGAGATCAAACGAGATCTTGAAACAGGAAGCATCACACTCTCTCAAGAAAAATTCATCAACGAAATATTGACAGAATTCGAGATAGATGAGAAAATGAAAGCCTGGACTCCTGGAACTACAACCAAACAAAAACTTAGTGATGATGGAGATTACCTTCACAAAGGAGACCAGACGAGATATCAACAACTGATAGGCAAACTCAATTATCTCTCGGTGTTTACAAGACCTGACTTGGCCTACACAATCTCAAGACTCTCACAACATCTGAGAGCACCCACTGTAACAAATTGGAAGGAAGCTATGAGAGTTCTTCATTATCTAAATCAGACAAAAAATATGGGAATAATTTTCAAACGGGCCGGAAGTCTACACTCACCATGTCCTGGATTAATTGCATACAGCGATAGCGTTTTTGGAGGAGACTCCTCAGATCGTCGCTCAACCATTGGCTTACTTCTGCAATACAATGGTGCCCCGATAGTCTGGAAGGCTAAGAAACTCAAACTTGTCACCCTTAGTACAGCCGAATCAGAGTATTGTGCAGGCGCAAAGGCTGGAGTAGAAATCATCTACATACGACAAATATTAGAGGACCTGGGTCTAGAGTGTATCAATCCAACTCCATTGTACATTGACAATCAGGCTGCAATCTGCATTGCGAATCCAGGAAAAAAGAGTTTGGCTAAACACATTGACATCAAGAGGTTTTTCCTAAGACAACTTGTGGAAGAGAATACCGTTAACGTACAATATGTACAGACCTCGAAGATGTTGGCTGACCTCATGACAAAATCACTTGGACGCTATCAACACATGAATCTGACTAAGCAGGTATTGGGCCAATTTGAGTCTTTCCAACATCCATCCCTTGATCCAATCTCAGAACTAAAACCTACAGACTCACCTGACTAGGGACTCTACCATGTCTGGTCTCAGGGGGGCGACGGATCACATGGATCTTATATAGAGCCCAGACTTGCCGAGCCTAAAAACTGAGAAATTGTAACTGTTCTGGAACGGTACGGTTCTCCATTCCGACTATTCGATGGAATGACCAGAGGAAGCATCCTCGGGGCGGACAATACCCCTGGTTATCTGTATATAAGCATGGGGTCTTGTCTTCCTCTCTCTCTGTCTCTTTCCCTCTCTTCTCCCTCTTTCTTTCTCCTCATTCTCTCTCTCTTCTCTTTTCCTTTCTCACTATCTCTTAATCTTTTTCTTTCTCCTATCCTTTCAGTCTCTGTTGTCTTCCTATCCTTGCTCTACTTATAAATACTCTTATCTCTGAAGTCAATTACCTATCTGCTCTAACTTCGCTACTGCATACAATCCATCAAACATGTCCGACCACACCGTACGGGTGACTGGCTCGGATTTCCGAGTTCAGTTTAACGTGGTCTACTAGTCACGGCGGCGGGCGCGGCCCCGGCGGCAGCGAGAATCAGACACTGACTACGGGTCAGGGTCGCACAGCCTGGGCCCGGTACGACGAGCCTGAAGAGGCCCGGCCCGAAAGCCTTCACTGACTCGTCGGAGCCTAGCGCGCGAGAACCAAGCGGGCCCGGTATCCTGCCCACTAGTGACAGCCTTCCAACACAGCCGCTGACTCCTGAGCCTTTACTCAAAGTTAAGTTAAAATCAGTACGAGGACAATCAGGAGAGCCTGGACTCTCCTGATTCAATGTCTTCGTACTGATTTTTTTTAACTTAACTTTTAGGTGGGGTGGTCTACTGGGAAAATAAGTAGCGGGGCTGAATCGTCGTCAGGAAGGCAAGAGAGGAGGTCATGGGAACGTGACTGAGGCTGGTGGATGGGAGGAGAGGAGAAGGAGGGAAGAAAGCAAGGAAGGAGATGATCTGATATAGTCCTGAAAAGAGAACACACTAGAGCAACTTCTCAAGTAGGAGCCTTATACACAGCTTTGGCTGATGCTCCTGCTCCTGCTCCTGCTCCTGCTCCTGCTCCTGCTCCTGCTCCTACAAATTTTTCGCTGCTTCTTCTCAAACGGATTGTGAGAAGCCATTCATTTGTAAAACCGTGAGAGACTTGTTCCAACAAATATGATAGACAATTTTCCTAGATAGACAATTTTCCTAGATCGACAATTTTCCTAGATGGACAATTTCCCTAGATGGACAATTTTCCTAGATGGACAATTTTCCTAGATAGATGGTACTATCTATCAATAATCTATCTATCAATAATCAAAAATCTATCTATCAATAATCAAACTCTCAGGTACGCTCAACAGAGTGAGATGCAAGGTACTCGTCGTGTCAAGGCTCTCTGCATAGGAGCCGATGTTTACACACATTTGGACCCATTGGATGAGGCTGTGAAAGATGCGCGTAGAATGCATAGGGATCTGGAAGGCAGCTCGGGCTGCTCCTCCTTCCTCCTCGCCAACCCGTCGACGAGACAGTCCATGTTAGACATTCTTTCCTCTCTCGCCATGGACTGCCAGACCAAGCGACCGGAGCTGATGCTGGTGTTCTATGCCGGGCATGCGATACAGCTGAGCTCGGGTGAGATCGCAATGCTGACATGCGATGTCGTGAGGCCGGAGATGTCAGAGGAGCAAGGATGGAGCGTGGTGACCGTCGCAGATATGCTGAGCGCCATGGCTGCGGGGGCAGAGAACGTGGAGGGGCTAAAGTATCGAGCCAGTGAGATCGGACAAGACTAGGAGCATGAAGGTTTCGCTCTTCCTGTCATGCAGCAGAGGTCAGGAGGCAGCTGATGAGTCAGCATTCCTCAGGGACCTTCTCGACAAGGTGCATGGGATGTTCGCACGGAACATGAGGCTAAGGCAGGCCATCGAGCATGCTATGCATGAAAGTCGCCGCAGAGAGCAGGTGGCAGTATCGTTCTGCTCTGACTTCATCCCGGAGGGCTTGTGTATCAGGCCGGACCCGACGGTCCTCAGAGACATCCAGCAGATACAACAAGGAGCGAGGAGGGTCGCGGAGAGCTCGAGGAGGCTTGAGGATCCATCGGCAGGGCCGACAAGCCCGGGCCCTGCAGCAGAGGTCGTAGCTGGATACAGCCCTGGAGCAGCTGGGACAGGAGCAGACGCGTTTCGAAGCAGCATCCTAGGCCTACTGCAGGAGAGTCTTGGCAGCCTACTAGAGGAGAGTCCACGGTGGAGGGTGTGCTCGATGTTTGTGCTGGTGTTTCTGAGGTACGAGGAGACGAGGTACGAGACTCAAGCGACTCGCAGATACTTTCAGACGCGATCGAAGAAGAAGCTTGGTCCTGACCTCATCAAGGCGGTCAACGGTCGTATGAGCACGAACGAGATCCGGTCGGAGAATCTAGAGCAGTGGGTACAAGAGACCTACGGGACGTCGACCAGCAGCAAGACGGCGGTAGCAGCGATCGACTTCACCGTACGCGAGGAGATCAAGCGGTCGCTCTCGCACATGCCCGAGGAAGCGAGGTCAGAGCTTCGCTTGTGGGAGGAGGACGTGCGGCTTCAAGACTTCTACGGGGGCGACATGACGGAGGAGAAGGCGCTGGACGAAGCAGAGGAGTACCTCAAGGACAAGTTGACGGCAGATCAGGACGGGAGGCTGAGCCCTCTGCTCGCAGTGCACGTGCTGTCGCGAGTGGTCGAGACCAGCAGCTTCGTGACGTTTTTGAAGATGACGAGGCTCAGCTGCGCCTGCTTGTCCGTGGCGCTGGCGAAGAGAGTGAGGGCGGCGCTGGACGAAGTGAGTGAGGAGGGGGGGGAGGGGCAAGGGGAGGAGGAGGAGGGCAGGTTTCGAACGTGGGTGAGCAGCAGTGGGTGGGTGTTTGGCAGTCATGAGCACGGGGAGCTGGAGGAGCGTCTCGAGACAGAGGAGGCGGAGCAGCTCCGATCTCTACTGGCAGGCGTAGGAGGAGACGACGAGGGCTTTGTGGGGTGGAGAAAGCTAGAGGGAGGAGGTGAGAGCCGATGCTCACGAGGGAAGATGCTGATGACTGACGTGAACGTTGGCTGCCGGGGCAGGGGCGCTGACAGTCTGGGGACGAGAGCAGGAAGTCGACTCTCAAGTCAGCGAGGAGCGGCAGAAGCTCTCGGTAGTGCCCGCGAGAGAGAGAGGAGGAGGAGAGGCTGCAAGCTGACTGACTTGCGACTCCAGGTGGAGGAGAGCGGGGTCGAGGAGACAAGTGAAAAGCTTGGACAGTTAGAAAACATTTTATCTTCCGATGAGATTGTTGATCAGCCGCTAACGAGTGGCCGCAAACGAGTGGCTTCTAACTTTCATTTATATAACAGTTTGACCGCGAGCAGCAGCATCAAGCCTGCCATGCAGGGATACGTGCAGAAGAGGTTTCACTCCCTCCTCAAGACCTTCTCAGACCTCCAGGCATGGAGCAGCAGCCCAGTCTCTCAGACCAAGCGCTTGCTAGACAAGCTCTTGGCCGGCATGCAACGAAAGACCACCCGCCTCATCTGCATCATCGACCTGGAGGGCCAAGACTCGCTCCTGGAGCGGCTCCTGTGCTTCAGAGAGGAGGAGCGGCCGGATGACGAGCTTTGCCTGCACGTCATGACCTCCGAGAGCTGGGGGGCTCGTAGCAAGGACGAGGCTGTCTCGGGCCGGGCGACAGGCGGGAGCTTGACTCGTGCTAGGATGAAAGCGATAGAGAGGAGAGGAGGGAGAGGCTCTGACAGCAGCACGAGACAAGAGACACGCAAGGCGGATGAAGCCGTCTTGCTTGGCGAGGGAGGAGGCGGAGACGACGAGGGTGCTGGGGAGCTAGTCAAGCGAGTCATAGCGCTTGCTCTAGAGGGAGGTAGAGCAGACGAGAGCTTCTCGAGGCGCAACAGGTAAGAGCGTAGACGGAGGAGGAGGGCGTGAGAGGAGGGTACGGACGTGACTCGATGTGTTGCTAGCGCTCTGTCAGGTCAGTCGAGGTATCGCTCCCAGAGCTTCGAGGACAGTCGGACGGAGCGGAGCTTCGAGGCAGACTTGATCTTCCTGGAGCATCCTCGGGTGTACGGGCTGTGCATGGGGCTCAACGACTACCAGGGAGAGCTCGAGCCGCTTGCGAGGGCCGTGGAGGATGCGACGGAGCTGCATGAGAAGCTCTGCTCACTCCCGCAGTGTCACTCGGTCTTGAGCTCGAACCCCAAGAGTCCGTCCGAGATGAAGGAGTACCTGAGGAGGAGTCTGAGGGAGCTAGAGGGAGCGTGTCCGGAGCTGGTGATCTTCTTCTACGCGGGCCATGGCATCTACGAGTCAAGGAGCAAGGATCAGATGTTGATACCGACGGACGTGGAGGAAGTGAGAGGGTTATCATTCCGGGAGATGGGTGAAATGATGCTTTCAATGGAGGAGGTTTTCAAGTTCTTCAGGGACTTCGAGCAAGACGTATCAGGATATCATCCGAGGGTGCTTGTGGTCATAGACGCTGGTCGGGAAAAGATCGAGGGAGTGCCAGAAGGTCTACCGCAAGATCCGGAAGAGAAGGCGCTGCCCAAGCATTGGACTCTGCTGCTGACATGCGGCAAGGGCAAGACAGCAAGCGACGAGTCGAAGCTGTTTGAGTCGCTTCTGGATGCAGAGACAGGGATGTTCGCTTGCAACAGACCGCTTGACAGCGTCTTACTAGACTGTGCGAGGAGATGCAAAGAGTCACAACCTTGTGTATTGATGAACATTTATGACATTCCGGAAGGCTTCTGCCTGGTGAGCGACGGCGAGGCTCTGAGAGACATCAGGAGCAGTACAGCTGCACTGCATGCTGCCAAGGATGTCGTATCGAGCTATCCTCCTCTCACAGACACGTCCAAGGCAGACACGTACGTGCTGGCTTACAGCCCTGAGGACGCCAAGTCTTTCAGAGACAGGGCGATGGAGGCGGTGAAGTATGTCCTTGGAGAGCAGCGAGCGGATAGTCCGCGGTGGAGGGTGTGCTCGATCGTGCTGATGTACTTCCTGCGATATGAAGACACGAGGTTCTCTACCAAGAGACTTTTAGATTATTACCGTTCAATGGTTAAGAAGAACCTCGTAGGCCCCGAGCTTGTTCAGCTTGTGCGCAAGCACGTGGATCAGAACAAGATCTCGTCGCCGTCGTTCGATGCATGGAAGGCAAGTCAGACAGGTCGCAGCATATCGGACGACAAAGTGCTCATTGCGATCCTGGACTACACGATTAGCAAGGAGTTACCTAGAGTCTCGTCTAGAGCTGAAGAGCTTGAGGCATCCCTGGAGATATGGCAGGAGGAGGTTATCAATCCATGCTTGGACCCGTCGGTGTCATGGGAGGACGGGATGGATAAGATCGAAGAGCATCTTCGAGAGCAAATCATGGAACAGAATAGTCAGGAGCTCTTGTTCTACTTCTATGTGCTGGAGAGAGCCGTGGAGGTCGGAAACTTCGTCATGATGCTGAAGATGACCAAGCTGAGCAGCGTGTTCTTGCACTATTGTCTACTCCAATACTATCACAGCAAGCAAGAGAACGACAGACACGAGCTGGAGGGCTGGAGGACGTGGATTAGCAGCACAGGCTGGGTCGTGAGGAGCGACGGGTACAGGGCAGACTGGAGGGAGTGCGAGGAGGGCTGGAGCGAGGAGCTGAGCGAGGGTTTCCGAGGGCTGGAGGAGTGCAAGAGGCCTGGAGGGTATAGAAGCTTCGAGGCGTTTGTGAAGGAAGGGGGAGGTAAGGTAGAGGCGATAGACTACGATCGTCTAAGCCATGCGCAGGTGAGAGCAAGAAGGCAAGAAGACTGACGACCGGCGGCTCGTCTGCGGCTTCGGCTTCTAGGGTAGAGCCGGATGTACATGTAGCCGTGAGGTATGAGGGTCTGACGTATGAGGGCAGGTGGGGTCGGATAGTCTAGACGAGAGGAGGAAGCACCGAGACGAGGAGGCCAGCGAGCAAGCTATGATGACGTCAGCACATGAAAGGATTGAGCATGGGCATGGGCATGAAGGGGATGATGACGACAAGCAGCAGGCGACTCTGACGCCAGGCCTGACAGCAAGCAAGAGACAAGAGAAGGAGAAGCGAAAGCCAGAGGAAGGAGAGGCCGATACACTAATTGACGAGCAGAGGAAGAAGAGAAGAAGACAAATCGAGGGAGAGGAGGCGCAAGCACTAGTCAAGCTATCGCTAGACCAGGGAGATCAACCCGATGAGCCGAAGGAGAGAAACCCAAGTCAACGCGAACACGCGCAAGAAGCTCAGAGCAGACCAGCAGACAAGGCTGAGGCGGACTCTGAGGTCGGTTTACAGCTCCTGCATGAGCTTGAAGAAGCTTCAATCCCCGAGTCAGGCAAGGCGAAACAAGGCGAGGACTCGTCATCGTCAGACTCAGGTCGGTGGGCGCTTCCTCCTGACATGCGCGACACGCTCCAGGTCTTGTACCTCAGTCGCTCCCAAGATTGGGATAAACCAATCCCATCAAGGGATTCGATTGGTGATCGATACGATCGAGCCAAGCGACATAACGGGACTTGAACATGCACGAGCGAACATGCACGAATGACATACACAAGTTTCAGTAGTGATTCAGACATATATCAAGAGAGATCTCAGTCAATTAGATCAGAATCACAATAGATTACAAATAGCTCTCTGTGCAGTGATCATCAGTGACAGCCCTCGTTGGCGTGTGAATATTGATCCTACATATCTTTTCTAATTTGATTGGCAGACTTGAGAGCGATGGAGGACAAGGGCTCTCAGGAGTCATCTTCAAACAAGAGGAGCTCTGAGTCCGAAGAGACCAGACCCAGCACAAAAATTCCCAGGACAGAGAGAGCTACCAACATCGGCAAGCCATTTCTACTCAAGCAAAACCTGGATGACAATACAAGAACTTTGTTGTCGTCACTGAATGACTACCTGAGACTGATCAAGACGATGATAGATCAAGGTTTTATCGAAGCAGGTCAGAAGAAGATGTGCGATGAAAGGCTTGAGAATGAGAAGCTAAAACTGAGCATCGGCGGAGATCTATTCACAGTTACAGGAACGATGAAGGCTGGCAAGTCTTCAACGATCAACATGATTGTCGGCAAAGAGCTACTGCCACACCGCAACTGTGCGGAGACAGCTTTCCCTGTGCTCATACGGCAATCCGATCGGGGAGAGACGGTTATCAAAGTTCAGAACTCTGACCTGTGGTTGGATCTGCTGGAAAAGTTCGTGTCGATAGAGAGAGAGCCCAGGAGCGCGGAAATGGATCAGAACCTGGAATTCCTGCGAGAGTGCTGGAAGCGTGCCTCTACTACCATCGACCTTGCGGCGTGCACTTCGTTGCCAGAGGTGTACAAGTACATGTCATGTGTGAACTGGTTTGTGCGGGAGTGCCTTGCTGCCAAGCTCGATCTCCCTTGGCACTTCCTCGTTCGACTCGACAACCTCCCTGTCATTGAGACCACGTTCGACAACTGGCCAGTAGCAAGCAAAAGCCATCGGCTGACGCTGCTGGACCTTCCTGGCCCTAACGAGAGCAACAGGAGCGAGTTCAGGGAGATGATCAAGCAGCAGATGAACATGTCGACGTCAGTGATCCTGGTGGTGGACTATACGCAAATCGGAAGTGCTGGCGCTCAGGAGATGTACGAGGACATCCTGCAGACGAACGAGTTTGACCCGCACATCATGAAGAACCGACTTCTTGTGTTTGTCAACAAGTACGATGAGAAGGATGACCGTGGGATGGACGAGGAGGAAGTGAAAGAGCGAGTGGCTGCTTCGATGATGATCGAGGACCGAGACAAGATTGTGCTTGGTTCTGCTCGTCTTGCTTGTCTCGCCATGCGGACTCTTGACGCGGTAAGACTTCGCTCCCCGCACTTCAGGGAACAGGAGTGGTTCCGCACATTCTCCAAGTTCGCGTTTGGTATCCTGCCCAGTCAGGAACAACTGACGGACAAGAACCTGGAGGAGCGTGCAAACGAGATCGTCAACTCATCGCACTGGCCTGCCTTCAAGCAGAACCTCCTTCAGTGCTGCTCTCCGAACGGTGACAACGCCTTGCATGCAGCGAATTTCAAGCTGGAACAAACGAATAAGGACCTTGAGGTCTTCATTGCTCTGCGAGCCAACAAAGTGACCCAGAACAAGGAGGAGACGGAGAAAATCCTCTCGGACATACAAGAGACGATCAAACGGCTCACAGGTGCCAACAAGTCTCTCAGCGACGACATCTCCAAGATGATTCATGAGTGTCAAGCTTGCACCGAGCGATCGTGCGACACGTTCAAGGCAGCGGTGGATGAAATCCTGCAAGAGACCTTCCATGAGCAAGACCTGGTGTTCGATGACGAGGCGAGCAAGGAGGTCAAGGTCAAGGAAGTCATCGTTGCCCTCAATGGCAAGGCTACGCTTCTCTACGACGAGGTACAGCAGGCCAACAAGACATTTGCTGAGAGTCTCAACGAGAGGCTGGAGTCTCACAGGACCATGATGCAGTTCCTCGCGAAAGACATGAAGATTTCTCTGGACGCGTACGCCAACGTAGGAGAGGGAGGGGGGGGCCTGGGCTTGTCTAAGGACACGTTCGATGAGCCTCTGCTACTCCCTCTCACCGGCATGCTGAGGCATCTGATCAAGTGCGAGCGAACGGTCAAACCCGTGCTGAATGAGTCTCAGGGAGCCCTCGCTTGGCTGGGCAGGAAGGTCTTCAGCGGGGCGTGGGGGTACGAGAAGGAAATCAAGAAGCAGGTGGTGCTGTCGTGGGAGGAGACCAACAAGAATACTCTCAAGTGGAAGGAGGGTGAGGTGCATAAGATGCAAGGCATGGTGAAACCGCGACTGCAGCTCGCAGAGAGGCAGCGGGAGCAACTACAATCTCCTGCGTCGGCGGAAGGCAAAGAGAGCACTGAAGGCTTTGAGTCGACTCTGCACACACTCACGACGACGCTGACGCGACGCCTGGAGGCGCATCAGACGAGGAAGGAGGACTACGAGAAGGATGCGCAGCAAGCGAGGGAGATGCTGAGCGCCATGCGGAACATCACGGTCAGAGCCAAGGAAGCCATCTCTATCTCCATCGACGATGATCCCGACGACCTCTGAGCCCGGCAGGCTTAGCCCGCGCGACTGCCCAGCCGTACGATACCGGCCAGTGATTGCCCGGGCTGGCCGTCGGCCCGGCGGCCGCAGACGGTTCGGCCAGCCTTGGTCGCCACATCATGAATGCGATCCTGACTCAGTGATTCGCCGTGGCAACGGGCCGTGCCAGGCCCTCAACTGAGCGCCGCATGTAGTGGGATGGCATGTGGCAAACTTGGCATGCGGCTACTAAACTTCGAGCCTGACCGGCCGCGGCGCGCATGACTCTTGCTGCGGCCCTTGGCCCGCCAAACGGTACGGTCCTTCATTCGACTACTAGGTGACGATGGAAGAAGCTCCGAAATGTCACCTTCTCCCTGGACAACCTGCTCATCGCAAACGGGATGCCGGTCAAGACATCCAAGGGGTGCCTTGCTATCGAGATGGCCAGGGAACAGCGGTGGGAGGAGCTCGAGGACTACTACATGAACAACACCGTTGTTAGGAAAACTTCCTACAAGTATCTCTCGATCCAGTGTTGTCACACGAAGTGATCCCGTCATGAAACCAAAGAGCAAGCGCGCACAACGCTATCTTTCCGCATGCATCGCTATCCCCTCATGCAGTCCAGTAGTCTTGTTTCAGCTTGTGCGCCCATTCCACCATCTGCAACCCTCGTCACTCTCATCCTTTCCTCGCGACCCAGCTGACCTGAGGTACAAACGCTGTCTGACTTTGATAGATCAGAGCCTGCGCCACCGTCAGTCTCTCCTCCAAGCCTCCCTCCCGTCCCCACTTCTCTCCCTCCCCTCGCCTTCTTTCCCTTTCCTCCCTCCCCTCTCCCCCTTCCCTTCAGTCCCTTCCCTTCCCCTGCACTCTCATCTCTCCCTCCCTTCCTTTCCCTTGATGCCTCTCCCTTCCTTCATTTCTCTCCCTCTCCATCTCCTTCCTTCCTTCCCTCCCTTCCTCTTCCCCCTCCTTCTCTTCCCCTGCTCTCTCCCCGTCTCTCCTTCCCTTCTCCCCCTCTCTCCCCGTCTCTGCTTCTCGCTCCTGCTCTTCCTCCCCGTCTCTGCTTCTCGCTCCTGCTCTTCCTCCTCGTCTCTCGCCTGCATGTGGTTGTAGGCTTCTTCGTTGGACATCTCCAGGTGAAACCTCTCCCAGAACTGCCAAGTCCCTCACTGACGCTGACCCCATGCCCTCCGCCCCTCCGCCCCTCCCACCAGAGCCTCACCTTGTACAGTTGTCGCTCAGGGTCTTCAGGTCTGCGACGACACGTGACAAGACCTCTCGTCTAGCAGCAGCAAGTCTTTACCTTCCTGGCACCCCTGAGATGTCCGGGATGTTGGCGTCCTGAGAGAGAGTCAGTGAGGCAGACGCTGACGAGCAACATCATCGACAAGCTGTGAGGACAGCAACAAGACTCAACCATCACCATCGTCAACGATCCCTCTTCCGTCTCGCTCTCCCTCCCCTCATCATCATCGTCATGCTCAACTCCAAGAGGTCCCTCGTTGTCCCTTCATCCTCGTCCTCGTCTTCATTTCTGAGTCGCTCTCCGTCTCCCCGCTGATCTCTTTTCTCCTCCGTCTCTTTTCTCTCCCTCGCCTTCGTCCGTTCCATTCCTTGTCCTCCTCCTCCCACTACTACACCACTGCTGCTCCCTCGCTCTCTCTCTTGCCCCTTCTTCTCATTCCTCGTCCTCGTCCTCCTCTTGCTCCTCCTCCTCTTCCTTCCTCTTCGTCTCCGTCACCTTCATCAGCATCATCAGGTTGATGAAGAACTCTGCTCGTCGACGCAAGATGATGTAGGCTTCACTGCAGTACTGCTGGAAGAGACGATAATGCTGACTCTGCTGCCCGCCCATAGCGTCGACCTGATCCGACGTGAGTCGAGAAACAGAGAGAGAGAGAGAGAGAGAGAGAGAGAGAGAGAGAGAGAGAGGTAAGGAGCAGGAGAAAGGAAAGCATACACAAACGAATGGCAAAGACAAGGGCGGAGGCAGAAGAGGAAGGGCGGGAGAAGTCGACAACCACCAGCAGGCAGTCACTGGCAGAGATAAGGGCAAGATGGAGGAGGAGGTAGCGGGGTGAAGGTCTCGCCCGAGGATGTATCCGAAGTCAATGTGAAAGAGATACCCTCCTGATGAAAAGATCATTGAAACACCATGATGATGATGATGATGATGATGATGATGATGATGATGATGATGATGATAATGATGATGATGATGATGATGATGACGGAGATGATGATGATTGAGCTGATAGAGATGATGATGATGATGAAGATGATGATGATTGAGACGATAGAGATGATGATGATGATGATGATGATGATGATGATGATCGAAATGTCTCCGTGATGGTTTGCACATGGCGATTGCGGATTCTCATTCTCTCATCATCTTCACCTGGGCTCAGAAGTACATTATCCAAGTGACGATCTCCTGGACATCTGCAAACGTTCAACCCCCCCAGCACCATGACGTGTCACTCTCATCTGTGACGAGTTTACCTACTCCCAGCAAGTAGGTGACGACACAATATCCTGCTGAGCTCTTGACGTAATTGTCCATCACCTGCACACATGACATCTTGTCAAGAGGCTGAAGGGTTTGATTGCTCATCGTCCCTTCAATCATCACCAACAAAACAACATCACCATCAGCCTCCTCCTCCTCATCATCATCATCATCCTCTTCTACTCATTTGTCATGACTATCTCCCTCTCCCTCTTCATCCTCGTTGTCATCGATTTCTCCATCCTCATGTTGATCCTCGACATCAACCGCTTCTCCTCCAGATCGTTCTCCTTGTCATCCTCATCCATATCCTATTCGCCCTCCTCCTCCTCTTCCTCCTCCTCCATCATCGTCTTCTACATGTCTCGTCAGCTTGTCCCTCATCATCATCACAAGTTCCCTCATCCAGCACATTCATCTCCTCCTCATCTCCTTCATCGCCTACCTCCGCTGCGATCCCAAACGGGCCCGACCGATCGGGATGGTGCTGACGTAGAAACCTGACCACACCTCTCACCCTCTCCGTCGTCCCTCCTCCTCCTTTACATCCGAATGTCCTTCCCGTACTCTGCTAGAATCTTTGACAGCGGGTATGAGTCCACCCGCTCCACCATCCCTGACAGAAAACCTCGCCGTCAGGCCTCCACTTGCCTCCTCCTCATCCCACCCCCGCCTCCTTCCTCCCTCCCCCCCCTGCTCTACCTGTCGAGGGTGACGTCGCAAGCGCTCGGTAAGGCGTCAGCTTCAGGTCAAGTCCGGAGTTCTTCAGCTCCCTGAGACTGTCCAGTCACAAGCACAAGACAGCAACAACTCATCCCCCTCCTCCTCTCCCCCGCTGACGACCCCCCTCATACCCCTCTCATCCCAGCATCTCTCGCCTACCTGTCCATCAGCCTCAGCATCTGCAACACCAGCTGGTCCTGACGGAGGTCGTCGCCGTCCTTGAAGATGATGCGATACTTGTACTGGATGCGATCAGCCGCCTTCACGTCTGGTTGCGGCGTGTTGGTCAGGAACGAGATCCCCAGCGGCATCATCGCGCTCTTGAAGACCTGCAAGCCCATGAGCTGCGCGTCATCAAGACAAGAGCAAGGGAGCAGCAGCACACTCTCACGACCAGCTCGTGACCGCCATGACAACACAGAGCCTTCTCCTCGTCTCCATCACCTCAGCGTCTTCCGCATGCAGACCGACGGCGATGATGTTGGGGTTCATGTTGAGACGTACTCCTCCTCCTCCTCCTCCTCCCGCTGACCCTCCGGCAGACCCGAAGATCATCGAGTGGGTCGAGGCCAGGGCTGACTTGAGTCGTTCTACCTTCCTCTGCCTGCTGTCTCTCATGTTCTTGATCTCTTGCGCGAGCTTCGTCAGGAAGGTAACAAGGTCGTGCTGCTGCTCTAGCACCGTGATGATCGACCTCCCCTTCTCCGTGCTCTCAAGCTTGTTCATCAGCTTCCTCTGCGCTCGCTCATAGTGCTTCTGCCGCCCCCGCGCCTCCTTCCCGTCCGCCTCCACCAGCTGCTGGCAGAAGATGTACCAATGGAGGTAGTTGGCGATCTCCAGGTTGTTGCTCGCTCGTTCGATGAGCAGGTTCAGCAGGCTGTCGCCCCCCTCCCTTCCTCCTCCCTCGTATCGCAGCGCCTGCACCAGCTGCAGCAGATAGCCGAGCAGCTCCTGGTCGTCCGCGATCGCCACTCTCCTCGCCGCTGCCTCCCTCACCTTGGGGTGCGTGAAGGCGGCTGACAGCATCTGCAGCGCGTCGTTGATGTCGATCGTCACCTGCTTCTGCCACTCCTGCAGCAGATCCACCGCCTGGTCCGCCTCCTCCTCGTCATTCCAGTCCACGCAGATCAAGCACTTGGTGAGAGCCTTGTTCTCCTTGGTCAGAGCAAACCGGTACCGCCACAGCAGCTCCTTGTGCTCCACGTTCATCTTCACCCCTGTCAGGTCTGCCCAGTCCCATGGGGCCTTGAGGAGAGTTTCTATCTGCCGTCGCTCCTCCGCGTCAGGCTGCAGGTTGCGGTCCTGGTGAGCCCTGTGCAGAGATCGCGCGAGCTTGCGATGCTTGTGCTCGACGGGGTTGTCGCACCCGAGCTCAGGATCGGGCAGCAGCGAGTTCCCTCCGCTCGGTATCTGCGTGTAGGGCCTGACCCCGTACATCACCGTCCGGTCCCACCTCTCCATCTCAACCGTGATGGTCGGGCGACAAGTCCCGTCTCCGACGTCCTTGTTGAGCTGCTGGATCCTCCTGAAGGCGAGCGCGTCCAGCCATGGCACTCGCTCCATCGCGTTGCGATCGTACCGCTGCATCAGCTTCTCCAGCTTCTCCATGCTCGGAACGCTTCCTCCATGCTTCTTCAGCGCGTGAGGCGGAGGAGACAGCTGCTGCGCGTCCATGGTCGTCTCGTTGCCATGGTAGAACTCCACCTGGATCTTCTTCCTCCCGCTCTTCAGCCGTCCTTTCTTGCTGAACAGCCTGAACGACGCTTCCCCCAGCGACACGTACTTCCTCGGAGCATAGAGCGCTCGCAGCGTGAGGTGGACGGCGGCGTCCCTAGGAAGATGCCAGTACCTCACGTGGTTGAAGGTCAGCAGGTCGTTCCAGCGACACTGGTTCCCGTAGGATGTGTAGCATGTGCGGGAAGGAAGACCCACCGCTGTCTCTCCCTCCATGATCTGAGCTTCCACAAACAGGTTGGCGAGGAGACTCTCTGCATTCTCTGGATGGATGCCGCTGGTCAGGTCCTCCTTGCTTCCTTCGAAGCTGTCGATCTTCAGTCTCAAAGGTCCGGCTGCCTCCATGTCGCACGTCAAGATCACGTCTCCTACTTCCTCCTCCATTCTTTGTTGCGTTGGCGAAGCAGAAACTTTGAAACGTCGGTTCCGGTTATCGACAGAGCTCAATCACTGTCAGATGCCAGCGCTTCTCACCACTATCTCTCTTATTCATCATCATCATCAATATCCTCTCCTCTTTCTTCTCTTTCTGTCTCTTCTTCTCCTTCTCTCGCATCTCCCTCTCCCTCCCGTCTTCCCTGCCCCGGCATGACGTACGATGTGCAGGCCGAGCTCCGCCTCAGAGCTCTCGGGCCCGGTACTTGCTCCGATTCAGTCGGACCGGGCGTCTCATCGAGAAGGCTGGCAGGTTCAATTTAGGCTTTCAAAGCCTTGTCCAATATTCGAAATGTTACGACAGCTATTTCAAACAATCCAATCGTCACACCTTTTACTGAGCCACCCACCCATTAGATGACCCCCCCCCGCCACTACCTACACTACCCATAGATTTCCCAATCCCTACACTACCCATAGATTTCCCCACCCCCTCTCCATCCACGTTCTCAGCCCCCCGGGGAGTCATATATCCGGAAGACCTTTGCTGGGAGCGCGGCAGGATGGCGGGGGGGACGCAAGGAGACGAAGCGAGCAGCAGCATCAAGCCTGCCATGCAGGGATACGTGCAGAAGAGGTTTCACTCTCTCCTCAAGACCTTCTCAGACCTCCAGGCATGGAGCAGCAGCCCTGTCTCTCAGACCCAGCGCTTGCTAGACAAGCTCTACGCCGGCATGCAACGAAAGACCACCCGCCTCATCAGCATCATCGACCTGGAGGGCCAAGACTCGCTCCTGGAGCGGCTCCTGTGCTTCAGAGAGGAGGAGCGGCCGGATGACGAGCTCTGCCTGCACGTCATGACCTCAGAGAGCTGGGGGGCTCGTAGCAAGGACGAGGCTGTCTCGGGCCGGGCGACAGGCGGGAGCTTGACTCGTGCTAGGATGAAGGCGATAGAGAGGAGAGGAGGGAGAGGCTCTGACAGCAGCAGGAGACAAGAGACACGCAAGGCGGATGAAGCCGTCTTGCTTGGCGAGGGAGGAGGCGGTGACGACGAGGGTGCTCGGGAGCTAGTCAAGCGAGTCATAGCGCTTGCTCTAGAGGGAGGTAGAGCGGACGAGAGCTTCTCGAGGCGCAACAGGTAAGAGCGTAGACGGAGGAGGAGGGCGTGAGAGGAGGGTACGGAAGTGACTCGATGTGTTGCTAGCGCTCTGTCAGGTCAGTCGACGTATCGCTCCCAGAGCTTCGAGGACAGTCGGACGGAGCGGAGCTTCGAGGCAGACTTGATCTTCCTGGAGCATCCTCGGGTGTACGGGCTGTGCATGGGGCTCAACGACTACCAGGGAGAGCTCAAGCCGCTTGCGAGGGCCGTGGAGGATGCGACGGAGCTGCATGAGAAGCTCTGCTCACTCCCGCAGTGTCACTCGGTCTTGAGCTCGAACCCAACTTTGTCCGAGATGAGGAGGTACTTGAGGAAGAGTCTGAAGGAGCTAGAGGGAGCGTGTCCGGAGCTGGTGATCTTCTTCTACGCGGGCCATGGCATCTACGAGTCAAGGAGCAAGGATCAGATGTTGATACCGAAGGACCTGAGTGAGGTCGAGGGGTTTTCGCCCCAAGAGATGTTTGAAACAATGCTTTCAAGGAAGGATGTTTTCAAGTTCTTCAGAGAGTTTGAGGACAAGATCAAGCCATTTCATCCGAGGGTGCTTGTGGTCATAGACGCTTGTCGAGAAAGGATTGGGTCAATATCAGAAGGTCTGCCGCAAGATCCAGAAGTGGAAGGACTGCCGAGATTCTGGACTCTCTTGTCGACATGCGGCAATGGACAGCAGGCAAGCGATGACTCAAAATTCTTTCAGTCGCTTCTCGATCCTCGTATAGGGATATTTGCTTGCAACAGACCACTTGAAGATGCGTTGAAATGTTGTGCGAGACTGGCAGGAGATGAGAAGCAATCATGCGTATACATAAACAGCCAAGCTATTCCAGATGGTTTCTGCCTGGTGAGAGACGGCGAGGCTCTGAGAGACATCACGAGCAGCACTGCTGCACTGCACGCTGCCAAGGATGTCGTATCGAGCTATCCTCCCCTCACAGACACGTCCAAGGCAGACGAGGACGTGCTGGCGTACAGCCCTGAAGACGCCAAGTCTTTCAGAGACAGGACGATGGAGGCGGTGAAGTATTTCCTTGGAGAGCAGCGAGCGGATAGTCCGCGGTGGAGGGTGTGCTCGATTGTGCTGATGTACTTCCTGCGATATGAAGACACGAGGTTCTCTACCCGAAGGCTGCTGGGATACTTTTATTCGAGTATGGACGAATTTATAGCAGGCCCCGAGCTGGTCAAGGACGTGCTGGAGTACATAGAGGAACACGCGATCTCGTCGCCGTCGTTCGATGCATGGAAGGCAAGTCAGACAGGTCGCAGCATGTCGGACGACAAGCTGCTCATTGCGATCTTGGACTACACGATCAGCAAGGAGATGGGCAGAGTGATATCAGACCCCGATGAGCTGAGTCAAGCATTGCGAATATGGAGCAAGGTGATCGATGGATGCTTGGACCCGTCGGTGTCATGGGAGGACGGGATGGATAAGATCGAAGGGCATCTTCGAAAACAGACTGACCTTGAAGGTGGTAAGGAGGTCTTGTTCTACTTCTATGTGCTGGAGAGAGCCGTGGAGGTCGGAAGCTACGTCATGATGCTGAAGATGACCAAGCTGAGCAGCGTGTTCTTGCACTATTGTCTACTCCAATACTATCACAGCAAGCATGAGAACGACAGACACGAGCTAGAGGGCTGGAGGACGTGGATCAGCAGCACTGGCTGGGTCGTGAGGAGCGACGGGTACAGGGCAGACTGGAGGGAGTGCGAGGAGGGCTGGAGCGAGGAGCTGAGAGAGGGTTTCCGAGGGCTGGAGGAGTGCGAGAGGCCTGGAGGGTTTAGAAGCTTCGAGGCGTTTGTGAAGGAAGGGGGAGGTAAGGTAGAGGCGATAGACTACGATCGTCTAAGCCATGCGCAGGTGAGAGCAAGAAGACAAGAAGACTGACGACCGGCGGCTCGTCTGCGGCTTCGGCTTCTAGGGTAGGGCCGGATGTACATGTAGCCGTGAGGTATGAGGGTCTGACGTATGAGGGCAGGTGGGGTCGGATAGTCTAGACGAGAGGAGGAAGCACCGAGACGAGCAGGCGAGCGAGCAAGCTATGATGACGTCAGCACATGAAAGGATTGAGCATGGGCATGGGCATGAAGGGGATGATGACGACAAGGAGCAGGCGACTCTGACGCCAGGCCTGACAGCAAGCAAGAGACGAGAGAAGGAGAAGCGAAAGCCAGAAGGAGAGGCCGATAGGCTACATGACGAGCAGAGGAAGAAGAGAAGAAGACAAATCGAGGGAGAGGAGGCGCAAGCACTAGTCAAGCTATCGCTAGACCAGGGAGATCAACCCGACGAGCTGAAGGAGAGAAACCCAAGTCAACGCGAACACGCGCAAGAAGCTCAGAGCAGACCAGCAGACAAGGCTGAGGCGGACTCTGAGGTCGGTTTACAGCTGCTGCATGAGCTTGAAGAAGCTTCAATCCCCGAGTCAGGCAAGGCGAAACAAGGCGAGGACTCGTCATCGTCAGACTCAGGTCGGTGGACGCTTCCTCCTGACATGCGCGACACGCTCCAGGTCTTGTACCTCAGTCGCTCCCAAGACTCGGACATGACGGCAGGTCATGAGCGAGCGAGCGAGCTCTGCCTGGGTCTCAACCTGCCGGCCGACCTCCTCGCGCGTCTCGCTGAGACATGCAGCAGTGTCGATGAGTACGAGAGGACGATCGCGAGGGAGTGGGAGCTCGGGCGCAAGCAGGACATGCTCGCCCGGCCTGACGTGCTGCGGAGGATCGCAGAGCAGATCGGCGGAGGCAGCCCGAGCTCTCCCTTGTCAGGGCTGCTAGCGAGGGAGACGAAGGAGGCGTGCGGTAGACGCATCGCAGACGTGCTCGAAGCCGTCCAGGTGACGTCATCGGATGCAGTTTCAAGAAGATCAGCAGCATCAGCGAGCATGTCAAGAGGGAGGTCAGAGGGAGGGAACGCGAAGTTCTCGATAGAGGAAGGAGAGGAAGCTATCTTCGGGAGGCTGGAGGAGTTTCACGGGGGCCTCATCGAGCGCATCGGGCTGCCCAGCACAGACCTGTGGAAGGGGCTAGAGGACGAGCACTGCCACAGGAAGGACTCGGAAGAGCCGTTCACTCCGCCCAACCACAACGAGGTCACGACGCCCAAGCGCGAGTGGGAGGCCGTGACAGACCCGAGCATGCGGCGGCAGCTCTCGCAGGGGATCAGACGCATCCGCGACGTGGAGGGCGTGATGGCGGAGGAGCGAGTGAAGGAAGCAGGGCTGCGGAAGGAGGAAGTCGTCGCGCTGCTGCTCTACACAGGTAGAGGATGAGAGGCGTGTAGACGCGTAGAGGTGCGACGTGAGCTGACAGACGCGGTTGACAGGCCCCATGTACTACAAGTACAACGCGGTACTTCGACTACCGGACTCGCACAAGGTCAACAAGTACGTCACGACCCTGCACTGCGTGGTGAGCGGGGTGATCAAGCTGTCCAAGACCACGAGGCTGCCGTCGTCGCGGGTTGTGTACCGGGGGCTCAAGGGCGTGCGGATGCCGGCGAGGTTCGTGGAGGAGGACGCGCGAGGGGTGTCAGGGGGGGTGGAGTACGGGATGCTCAGCACATCGACGGAGAGGCAGGTGGCGCTGCAGTACGCCAAGGAAGGCTCGCTGCCGACGGTGTTCGAGATCAGCTGCGGGGCCATCGACCGGGGAGCGGACTTGGAGCTGCTGTCGCAGTACCCCGAGGAGAAGGAGATCTTGTATCCGCCGCTGTCGTACCTGGAGGTGGTGAAGCAGCCGCGGGTGGAAGAGACAGACGGGATGCGGGTGCGGGTGGTGCCGCTGAAGATCAATGCGAACTTGACGTGCTCGACGATAGAGGAGACGCTGGGGAAGCGGAAGCAGCTGTTCATGGCGCTGCTGAAGAACGTGGAGGAAGAGATCGGTCGAGACCTGGAGGGCAAGATGCAGTCGCAGCGAGTCAAAGACCGGATGGCAGATGCACCCTTGGATGTGATGATGAACTATCATCACGCATTGCACAAGCTGATCACATACAAATTCAAAGAAATCGTGGAGCGATACAAGGAGGAGGGCGAAGCTTGGTACAACAACGATGAAAACTATGTACAGGCCATGGGAGATGCGACGAGACTGAAGGAGATGGCGATGAACAAGATCAACTACTGGCTTGACGGTACTGGTGACTTTGAATGTAGACCAATAGCGGCACAAAAGATGAAAGATCTCTACATGACGAAGATATCAGACTTGCATCGCAGGGCTCTGAGCGATACGGGCGATCAAGACGGGCAGAGGCTGGCAGAGCAGTCGAGCAAGATGCAAGGGATCTGGCGAGGTGAACAAGACTCGGAGCTGGAGTCTCCGATCTTCACGGCAGTGCGGCAGGGGCAGGCAGACCTGATACCGATGATCTGCCGGGCAGAAGGAAAAGTGACGGAGACCTTGAGCAACGGAGACACGCCATTGCACGTGGCAGTCAGACAAGAAGACATAAGTTGCATGCAAGTCTTGATTGAACAGGGAGCTAATCTTTCTACTGAGAACGATCAGGGTCAGACATGCGCGCACTTGGCAATCTTGGAAGATCATGTAGAGGCGCTACGGTACTTGGGGGAGGTAGGGGGCCGGGAGCTGCTCGCCCAGCCAATCAAGGACGGGAGGACATGCGCGCACTGGGCGAGCGAGGGAGGGCATGTAGAGGCGGTACGGTACTTGGGGGAGGTAGGGGGCCGGGAGCTGCTGGGGCAGGCGGACAATCAAGGGAGGACATGCGCGCACTTGGCGAGCGAGGGAGGGCATGTAGAGGCGGTACGGTACTTGGGGGAGGTAGGGGGCCGGGAGCTGCTGGGGCAGGCGGACAAGGACGGGAGGACATGCGCGCACATGGCGAGCGAGGGAGGGCATGTAGAGGCGCTACGGTACTTGAGGGAGGTAGGGGGCCGGGAGCTGCTCGCTCAGCCGGACGTGTACGGGAGGACATGCGCGCACATGGCGAGCAGGGAAGGGCACGTAGAGGCGGTACGGTACTTGGGGGAGGTAGGGGGCCGGGAGCTGCTGGCGCAGGCGGACAATCAAGGGAGGACATGCGCGCACATGGCGAGCGAGGGAGGGCATGTAGAGGCACTACGGTACTTGAGGGAGGTAGGGGGCCGGGAGCTGCTCGCGCGGGCAGACAAGGAAGGGAGGACATGCGCGCACATGGCGAGCAGAGAAGGACATGTAGAGGCGGTACGGTACTTGGGGGAGGTAGGGGGCCGGGAGCTGCTGGCGCAGGCGGACAATCAAGGGAGGACATGCGCGCACATGGCGAGCGAGGGAGGGCATGTAGAGGCTTTGAAGTACATAGAGAAAGTATGCGGCCGGGAGCTGCTGGCGAAGCCGGACGAGTACGGGAGGACATGCGCGCACATGGCGAGCGAGGGAGGGCATGTAGAGGCGGTACGGTACTTGAGGGAGGTAGGGGGCCGGGAGCTGCTCGCCCAGCCGGACGAGTACGGGAGGACATGCGCGCACATGGCGAGCGAGGGAGGGCATGTAGAGGCGCTACGGTACTTGAGGGAGGTAGGGGGCCGGGAGCCTTCTGGCGAAGGCGGACAATCAAGGGAGGACATGCGCGCACATGGCGAGCAGGGAAGGGCACGTAGAGGCGGTACGGTACTTGGGGGAGGTAGGGGGCCGGGAGCTGCTCGCTCAGCCGGACGAGTACAGGAGGACAT